ATTTCATAAAATGGTGGCAAACAGACAATCAGCACCAACAGAACCACGACAAGCGCCAGCAGGTAGAGCAGTAGCAGACGACCAGCAAACAATGCGCGTAGAAGATGTTGAACTATCACCTCAAGCAGTAGATGACAATTTTGACGCGACACCAGTTCAACAAGCAACAGGAGCATCAAGTTCAACAGCCCAACAACCACCACCATTGCCAGTGACACCATTATTTAAAACAACAATAGATAATACTATTAGTCCTGTTTACTGGAAAGAAAACCCTAATTTAACAGTAAATGATATTAAATTTCAATTCTATTTAAGAGGAATTCAAGTGCCAGAAGAAAGCGAAATACAAGAAGAATTGAAACACAAAGGCAGAGGCAAGGCGAGAACATACAAAGAATATTTAACAGATATGATTTTAGACACTATTGATAATGGCGGGTGGATAGTAAATTTAGGCAAAGGTAGAATAGAAGAACTCAAGGCAAGTTTTAAGGGCAAAGGTAAGAAATAAAAACATAAATAATAATAATAATGATAATATTAACAAAAAACATACTGAAAAGAAAGAAGCAGAAATTCAATGATAAATATGATGACGACAGTTTTTCAATACATAACCTAATGAAACCAAACACTTCAACAACAATACAACCACCGAAATTGATGAAAAAGGGCATACCGAGAGAATTTATTGACATTGCAACCAACACAGATACAATCGCCACAGAAACCAGAGAGACTCAAGAAAAGTTATACAATGATGCAAATCAACAATTAAATATGACATTTGAAGCGCTTAAGGTAAAGGAAAACCAGGACAATATGTTTAAAATAATGCTTAAAAACTTTTGGCACAACACATACAAAAGAAATGAGCCAACAAGAACACAGGCAACACAAACATTGAAAAACCAACGCGACACAATGGTGTCAGCCTTTACTAAAATGCTCGACAACAACAAACCGCCAGAACCACCACCAAAGAAACCACCAGATGAGGATGACAGCGATGAAGAAGAAAAGAAGTTCAAACTGACGAAAATGATAGAAATAATGCTACACAACGGCGCTACAGTAGCAGATATCATATTAAACTTATCGCATAGCGCAATTGCAACAACAATAAATATCGCAGATTTAGTTAATCAAATAACAGCAGGAAATGCACAAGGTAGCAGTAGCAATTCATCAAATGAAGCTATTAGTGTTCATAGTTCGCCACCTATTACTGTTCATAGTTCTTCATCTGAAAGTCCAACAGAAATACCAGCACCAACTGAAGACGGAGATTCAGAAGAAGAAGAAGAAAACAAAAAGATAATTTTGAAAATTAAAATCTAAATAATATTATATATAATGGGTATTGGTCAAAGTAAAAATAATGAAAATAATAGTTTGGAAGACATTAAGAATTTAAGTATAGATGAAAAAACACGAGCAGATACTTTAATCATTAAATCTCTTCAAGAATGTGTGACACGAATTGAAAAACTAGAGAAAGAAAAATCTGACAAATTAATATATAAATTACCTGTTCAATTATGTAATTATTCATTATTTTAAATTAATAATATTAAAACAAATTAATATTATTGATTACTATCATAATCTGTCATTTCACTATCGGGTAATTTCGTTGAGGCATTGCTACATCTATCATCTATTAAATCTTCTTCATCATAAACTTATAAAGTTTATGTATCCAAGAATTAGTATGAAAATTATAATTACCCCTACGATAAAATCCACCACATCTACATAGTTTCATTGGCATATTATATTATATTAAATTAGACTATCTTTATTCATCATTCGTAATTTGAAATGCCCGTTCAAATCTGATATGAAACATTTTGTTAATGTCTTTAGCATTCATTTTCACGTAGAAGAAACTATAAGGTGCGTCATTAACGGCTTGATGATACATATCTAATAATTGCTGTTTATCAACAATGGCGCTATTTTCTTCAATAAAACTCATTAATTCACTGGCATTTTTCAACCTAAAAATATATAATGAACTGGCATTTAAACGAATGATAGGCGCCAACACATTATATTTCTGTGTTGAACAAATTACACTTACTGCATCGTGCCTGCCTCTTGTAAATAATCCATGTAATAATTTACTATATCTAACAAATTTAGGGTCGTCTGCGTGGTCATCTATAACGATTAATATTGAGTGCAGTTTCTTTATCTTTTTAGATTTCATATAGTTAATAATTTTCTTCTGTCTTTCGATTACATTTTCTAAATCACTTGGATTATAATTATCAAAATAAATTTGTTCTTTTTCATCATCTACATGTAGTTCATCCCTAATATATTTCTTTACTTCTGTAAAAGTTGGGTCATTATGAACGCTGGGGGAAAATATAAATATTCTTGCAAATGAATTTCTAGAAACATTTAAGATAAGGTTCTGAACCAAGACCGTTTTGCCACCTGTCGAACTCGCAACTATAATACTTCTAAATGGTAGTTTTGGCACGTGCTCATATTTAGATTGTTTGAATTCATAATCAGTTATGTTTATTGGTTTTATTATTGGGACATCTGTCATAGTTGATATTAAAGAAATATAGAAAATTATATTTAAAAGTTAACTTGTAATTAATATTAAATGGAACATCATTTTTATGATATGCTGGTGGAGAATATCATAAAATGGAGCAGGTTTTCCATTGCTTCAATCAATAAGCATTGAAGATAATTAGTTTGAAGAATTGCAATGAAAACTCCAAGTGCTGTGCCCCATCAATATTCTATTATGCATGAAATAATAGGATTAATTAGAATAATTTATCTTATTATTTAATATGCAAAGGAGTTATACAGATTATATTGATATAATAGATGAAGTAGAAAATATAGAACAAGTAATAATAACTGACAATAAATGTAAGAAAGTATGCTATTTTGTTTTAGAAATAATTAAGTTAGGAATTCAATATATCAAAAATAAAAATGTAAATATTAATATAAATGGGAAGAAAGAAAATCAAAAAGAATAAGACAGAACCAGCTGTATCTTCAACAGATGAAGATAAAGAAGAAATTGTTAAAGAAACATCAGTTATTGAGTTTGCTTGTCCTATGTGTAAAAAAATATTACAGACGAAGAATGAATTATCAATAGAAAAGAAAGGAAACTGTAAATGTAGTTGTGTGCCAATAGGGTTCAAAATATCTAAAAATGATAAGAAAATGAATATTGATAAAACCAAAGACAGTATCAACTTAGAAACTGATGCCCATAACATTACATTTAAATGGGGTAAGGATGCAACACTCTCGGACAATAATGAAAACGAAACACAGGAAACTATTAAACAAATGATGAAAAATTAGTATTTAAGGAGTAGATTTAACACCACTTCAAACGCATAAATAAATAAATAATTATATAAATATTTATATATAGAAATGTCAGAAAATGGTGATTCTACAATTCACGATTTAATGAAAAATTATTATTATTAGTAAGAATATTAAAACATTAACTGAACTTATTAAGAATATTGATGAAAAAATAAACCAACCTAAAAGCAATAACGAAGACGATAATGAGAAGATGGATAAAATCTTTCAAAAGAAAGGATTAGGGCGTCCCTCAGGCGACCATGAAACTAAAAGACAATCTTATTTTGAGATGGTGTCCAACGGGCGCATTAAGAACCCAAAAGAACAAACTTTAGAATACTATAAAATCGCGAAAGATGGTGATGAATATAAACTTATGGATTAATATAATAAATATCTAAATCATTCTAATAAATGAATTTATTAGAGATGTTTAGTGGAACAGGCAGTGTTGGACTTATTGCAAAGTCGCTCGGTTTTAATGTAATATCGTTGGATTTGAAAAATACTGATATTAATTGTGATATACTTGAATGGGATTATAAGCAGTTTGACAGAAATCATTTTCAATTTATTTGGGCATCACCACCTTGCACAGAATACAGTATTGCAAAAACAACAGGAATAAGAAACATTGAATATGCTAATAGTATTGTATTAAAAACAATAGAGATTATTGAATATTTCAATCCAACATATTATGTAATTGAAAATCCACAAACTGGATTATTAAAAAATCAGGAGTTTATGAATGAGTTTGATTTTAAAGATGTTGATTATTGCAAATATGGATTTAATTATAGGAAACGAACTAGACTTTGGAATAACATTACGAATTGGAACCCTAGAGATTTATGTAATAGAGATTGTGGGAAAATCAGGAATAATAAACATATTGAAACTGCACAACGGATGCCATCCGGTCGTAAGGAAAATTGAGGCGATAATTATGTAAAACATAAGCAAGAAGATTTATACAAAATACCTGCTGATTTGATTTGTGAAATTTTGGTGAGTTTGGTGGATTAAGGAAAACGAGTTTGGGGTTGGTGTTGAAACTTGAAATTTGCAGGTTCGTCCAACGACAAAAGAGTAAAAAATATGAAATTTAAAATTTTGAAAATAATGATTTTTAAGGGGAGAAATCCATAGTTTATAAAATAGATAAAACACCAAAATTATATAGATATATCCGGAAACTCTTGCCAACTGCCAAACAGGGCACGAAAAATTGGCGAGAGTTTCCCCTTATATATTACTATAAAAATATAAGAAACAACAACCCTAAAAAGGCTCCGGACGAGGTCCCGCACCCAAGCTTGAAGTCGGTCGTCATACCTGCGCGGAGCGAAGTCGCGTTGGGAAAAGGGATGGGCGGGTCAGGGTAGAGGGTGAGGTGCCGACACTTGCAGACCGCGACTTTTTCAAGCGAGTCCCCCCCCTCATCCCTTGGTTGAAGCCTATTGTTCCAAATGACACAGCCATGTGCCCACATACCGATTGTGGAAATTTAGGGTGTGGTTGTGGAAATTTAGGGTGTGGTTGTGGAAATTTAGGGTGTGGTTGTGGAAATTTAGGGTGTGGTTGTGGAAATCAGAGGCTTGGCTGTGGGACAGCTACTTGCTGACTACTCACGATGCCATATTGGCAGCACCCGCCGTTTTGGCGAGTGCCTCACGGGCACCAACGCGCTTGGTCAACTCAGTTTTCAGCATCTCGCGGAGCTGGGGCATCCCAAACTTCTCACTCTTGGACTGCGCCCAGTTGTATGCCAAGCAGATTGTGAGCTCCGCGCCTTCAAGGATGCCCTGTGTCATCTGGGAGGTGTCCTTGATGGCGACCATTTCCTTGCCGAACAGAAAGGCGCTAGCTTTCTTCAACTTGTATTCGGCAGACCCACCGGTGTCTGCCGACACTGCTGAATAGGCATTCTGGAGCAGGTCCTCATCAAGGTCAGTGAGCAACGCCTGAATGGTGTTGATTGGGTCCGCCTCTGCTTTGGTGTAGAAGGCGGACATCTTGCCATCGCAAGTGGCGACGCATTGCTTCAAGTCGGCCTCGTTGGTGGCAATGCCGTTGAAGATAGACTTGACGGACTTTTCAAGGGCCTTGGCCTTCTCCTGTGCCACAGCGGATTTGGTGGTGGCCTTCTTCGTGCCCTTGCCCCCTCCATGGAGCGCAGGAGTGAGCTTGAAGACGACCTCATCGGTGTAGTAGGCATCAATGCCATCCCAGTCGTTCAAGGTGGAGGCGCTACGGCTGAACTTGATGACAAAGAGGGTCATGTCAATGTTCAGGGACTTCTCCAATGCCAAGCGCAGGTCTTCACCACGAGCCTTGTTCATCTCATAGACATAGAACACCTTGAAAGAGCCCGATGCGGTCGGCACTTCCAAGCCAAGCTTCTTGATATTCTCGCCGTCAAGGTTCATATCGTCCGTCACGCCAATGTGGATTTCTTCAAAGTCTTCCTTCTTGTTGCCCATGGTCTGGGCAATGTAGGAGCGCTTCATATCCTCCAACATCCAGAGCTCATCCGGATTGACCTTGATGAGGGCATTGGGCGGGTTGAGCTGTCGCATCAGCTTCAACCGCTTCTCGTGAGCCTCAGTCCAGATGAAGACCGATGACGAAGCTGAGCCCTCATCCTTCTCAGTGCCAGAGCAACACTCCTCTTCTTCGGAGGTCTCTTCATCCTCCTCATCGGTGGCGATGGGCTCATTCCGAGCCGCATGGTGAGGGGCAATGGCATCCCAGTTCTTCAAGATGTATTCCACGGCACCCGCCTTGGACTTTCCAGAGATGAAGTGCCCGAGGTTCTGCATCAAGCTCCTCAACTGGCTCAATGTCAGGGTGTTGAGGTCTTCTCTCGTTGGAGTGGAAGGCGTCAGCTTCTTCAAGGTCTCCAACTCATAGACAGCACCTCGGGGCATCTTGAGCAGACAAACGCCGTTGTCGTTCTTGATGATAACCAAGGTCATCTTTGAGTTGGCAGGAGGATTGCGGATTGAGCCCTTGCTTAGGCTCAATGAGGTGATTTGCCCCCATGTGGTGGCAATGTGTGAAACCAAGCGGTCTTTGGTGGAGATGTTGGACACCTTCACCGAAAGCTGGGAGAGCATACCCTTCATGTCGTCCATTGTCAGAGTGCTCAACAGGTCCACATCAGGGCTCTGTGCTGGACCCATTGTCAGCTCACCGACACTGATGATGTCGCCACCACTGAAGCCCTTGACAATGAAGGATTGACCGCGTTGAACAACAAGCATTGCGAGAAGCTGTTGCCTCAAAAACTCACTGCTGATGATAAGCCAAAAAGCACTATGGCGTGTATTGTGTCTTCGGCAGAAGGCACATCAGCAATGCTTGACACACAGAACCTCAAATGCGACGCAACACAGGAAGGGGCACTAATTGAAGATGAAGGCGAAGAAGACGAAGCGCACGGCGTGGCGAGGCGGTCGTTTGTTTCGTTTTGTTGGTGAGGGTTTTGTAATTGTTTGTTGTATGGTCGGTTGTTTGGTTTTTTGTTTGGTTTGTTGTTTGGTGTTTTTTTCGGGACAGGGGGCTTACCCAGACCTCGTTATGGTTTTGGTATGGTTGATTTGGGGGGCAGTTATTAAATTGCGTGAAAACCATAGGGGGGAGTATACGGTTATGAGGTCTGGGTAAGCTCCTTCTTGCTTTAGCTGCGTAACCCGCCGTGTTTTGCTCCGCCTCAAGAAAGAAGGGCACTTGCCAACTGCCAAACAGTGCTGTGGGTGCTAGATCTCACGAATTTAACAGCTTCGCCAGAAATTGCAGTTCGGGAAGTCAAGGCTGCTGCAGTGAGCCAGCTGCAGATAATTCATACAAAGAAATATAGCGTGACAATCAGGTTTGCCACAATTACTGCTTCTTGTTAAATGTTGACCTAGGATCTCACTTCGTTTTGCCTTCAATCAGTGCGTGTACACTTTTAAATCTGACGCGTCAAGGTTCATTGACGAAAACGTAATTGAATGAAACACATGGTCTGCGGCGTACGTTTTCATGTCACATGGTTTCTTGTTTTGGAGATACGAACTTGCGAGCGCATGGCTGCGCGCAAGCGACTTGCTGTGCTTGCCGTTTCTCCCCAGTTGAAACCTTTCGCTTCCGGTCCGGAAGGTTCCGGAAGGTTCCAGGAGGTTCCAGGAGGTTCCGGGAGGTTCTCGGAGGTTTTGGGACGGAGGTTCCGAGGTTCAATGGCGTGGCTGGGGTGGCCGCAAGGTTCTGAAGGTTTCATGGACGCTCCAGGGCATAGTTCCGGGGTTTCATGGAACGTTTGGACAGAGTAACCGAGCAAGAGTTCCGGAAGCGTTTGAATTTTCTTGTTGTTGGGGCACCTGGGCTGATTGTTCTAACTTTGAAGCAGCTTGCCCTGTGGCCCGTGGCATTGCTGTTCCGAGCTAGCATCTGGCCAAGCTCCATCCTCCTGTTTCCTGCCAATTCTCCTTTCTTGAATCGGACGAATGCCTGCTCACGCAGATTTGCAACAAGACTTTAAACATTTGCCTAAGAAGGGGGTTGCCCATTTCCAGCCCAGCATCAATGCATTCGGGACGCATCAGACAGGGTTTGTGTTGTTGGTTGGTTTCTGCATTCGTTTTTTGCGCTAACCAGTGAGTGACAGGCTTGTCTCATGCAGCCATGGGCTCCCAACAAAATGCATTTGAAGGGAGCCTTCGTCCAGCCTCCGCAGCTGCAGGTGCACTGCTTGAGTATCTCACTTGATGTCTGTTGTATTTGCTGTCAAAAGGGTGTGTCCTGAGGCGAAACCTGCGGTATGCAGGCGAAGGCTCTGACACGCTGAGCGCCCAGCTTGCTACTTCCAGGCCGAGGCGCGCAAGACCGAGCTTTAGATGGCAAAGTTCCTGGAAGGCCAGAAGCTCAGAAGCTCAGCAGTTCAGCAGTTCAGAGCTGTTTTCCGGCTGAAACACAGAGTCTCGAGAGGCCTCACCTCTGGTGCTTTTGGCGATGAGGCGATCGACTTTTTGCAGGCTGCCTCTCTCTGATCGGACGCCAGGACCCCCGCAACCTCAAAGCTGCCGCCCCGCTTGCGGGCGCGCGAGGTGCGCGAGGCTTGGCCCGTGCCCTGCCTTGATCTTATTGGCATTGGCGAGGATAGAGCCCGGCAAAGAGAACATGCCAATTTGCCAAAGGCTGGCATGGGCACTCGACAAACACCTCACATCCTTGCATCAGGAACCCGTGCTGGTTCCGATGGATGTGCCCGGAGAGGCGCATTCGGGGTACACCTTATCCAGGCTCTGACATTGTGACTCAATGGGCGATTCCATGCTGGCCTCCAGCACCAGGGATGAGCCCACAAGCTTACAGACAGGCAGAAAGCGGTCAAGAGGGGCAACCTAAAACCAATTTGGGGTTCAGAGTTCAAGTAGTCTCTGCATGAAGTCTTCAGTCTTCTGTCCTCTTCAGTCCTCTTCGGTCCTCTTCGGTCCTCTTCGGTCCTCTTCGGTCCTCTTCGGTCCTCTTCGGTCCTCTTCGGTCCTCTTTGGTCCTCTCCGCTTAGTCGTAGTTTAGCAGTTGTTTAGTATTTAAGCTATGGCAGCGCAACTACGACACAGCCACCAGCCATCTTATCCCATATCGTTGTTAATAGCTTCAGTGTTTCCCCGACGCACTGCGAAGCGCGCTCTGTTTCCAGGTCCCTGGATTCCGCTTTAGCTTTTTCGACTGCTTTCACGTTCCCCCAACAACTCACCTTTTGCAGTTCTTAGGCCCTTTGCAGCGCCAACAAAATGCTTGCCTTGAGCGGAGTCACCTTCAACTCCTGATTCCCACGCTCACTGTGCCTGGTTTGTTTTCAGCCTATCATACCCCAGACGGCTCAATGCAAGCTGTCTCTCAAGGGGGAACAAAAGGAAACTCTTAGGAAAATGGTGTATAAGATGGCTGTTGCTTGTGTCTTAGTTGCCCTGCCTACGGTTTGTTTGTTTAGATGTTTGAGGTTCCTCCCCTTTTTCTTTTCTGGGTGGGGGATAATTTTGGGAACACTTGTTTGAATTGCCGACTTTACATTTGAATGAGCCCGAGGCCAATGAGTCCAATGAGGCGTTCCTCATGCTCAAGCCGCATGCGAGCACGGTGGCATCCTTTCTGCCCGGCCTATGAAATTGCGGTTCGACCCAGGCGAAGGCGCGCGAGGCTGTTCGAAAGATACTGGAGGACAATGGCATTGCGGTAGTGAAGGCCCGTCTCGAGTCGCGGCTTTGCTCTTGAGACACATTGAAACACATTGAGACAGAGAGTCAGGATGGCAGCATCAGCGCGGAAGATGTCCGGCAAAGGCGTCTTAGCGTTTTGGCGCTTCGACTCGACGATCCGATATCCGTGAAGCAATCGAGGCGCCTGATCGATAAGCACTACGGGCGCGTGGCCCAACTGGCCCTGGAGGTGTTTCCACAGGCTCTGGTGGTGCCAAAGAAGGGCCAAGCAGCTTTCAAGGAGCTTCGCTGCTTCGCTCATTTGTTGTTCCTCGTTGTCCCGAAACCCGAGTCCAATTTGGATTCCATTTCGAGCTTTGAAGGAGTGCTTCGGCTTGCCCTGGAAGCAAGCCATGGAGAAGGACAGGTTGCCTTTCACAAGTCGGAAGTCGGAACATGTCGCAACGTTCACGATAGGACTTGGTGGTAAATGCCGACCAGGCCATGAAGAGGCTCAATCCCATGACATGCCCCGACCCAAATGCCCCACGCATCATGCAGTTCACAGGCTGGGTTGGACATCCGACGAGCTTGGCACGCGGTGGGACGAATTGAAGTCAGGCCATGTTCCATGAATCTCTTTGTTGTTCTTGGCATTTCTGTCGCAGCAGAGGCATTGCCGCTTGCCCTCTGTCAGGTGTTGGGAAGGTGAAATTTGGAGGCGGCTTCTACTGCGGATGTCTCTCTGGGCTCTACGCTCCCCCCTCAGCTCTACATGGCCGGTCAACGGTCCTTTGTGGTTGAGGATAGGGACTGTCACCCCATAGGGGCTTTCAAGCATGACTATGGCCAGGAGTTTTGACCAACACATACAGGCTTGTATCATTGACGCAACCGAGATTATCAATGGCTTCTACATGGCGATGCGTGACAATTATTTTCGGACGGGCAGGCACGGTGATGAAGAGGGCAAGGGTAGACATTGATACTCATACATGTGTAGTTCGTGTCCTACCGCAGAAATTTGGGGAGAGTGACTCGTGTCACATGTGACATGCGCATGTGACTCATATGCGATGCAGGTCTGTGGAGTGGTTTTGTCTGGAGTGGAGGGCCTCGAAGATGTCGTGGAAGAAGTGCTGTGCCCAGTGCCGGAAGGTTGAGCCGTGGGCTTTGGATTGGCCATATTGGCCTCAGGTTTCGCGAAGAGGTAATCGGTGAGACGGACCCGGCAGTTGCCCATCCTCACTCCCTGCGCCGGCACTTCTTCGAAAATTGGGAGAGGCCAGAAACCCCAGACATGGTGTGTCACTGTGTCTCATGTGAGTGTCTCCGCTGAGTCCAATGCAAGGCTCGACTTACCTTCTGAACCCCATACTGGGGAAAATTGCATCCATGGCGCCGCTAGCCCCTTGGAGGCGGACTCAACGGACTCAACGGACTCAATGGATTGGATCCCCTTCGCCGAGCCTCCGGTTCCCTGTTCGAAGGCCACGATGGAGAGGAGGAACTGGCTCCACGACGTCGGCTACTCCGACGCCTTCTGGCAACTGCTGCATGAAGCAGGCGCCTGCATGGCGTGGGCCGAAAGAAGCAAAGGAAGCAAAGGAAGCAAAGGAAGCAACGGAAGCAAGATAGAAGCTCACGGCTCAGGCGCCACCCCGGAGCATCTGGAGAAATGGAGGCTGAACCCTGTCGTGCGGGCCCCAAGGCCCCAAGGCCCAAAGGCACCGATCGAATGCTCGACGCAGGTTACTGTTGGAGAGAGGCAGGGACTTTGATCGGGGAGCAAGCATTTGTTTGGCTGATTGGTTGGCCTCTCCTTTTTGTCCAGACCCTAGACCCTAGACCCTAGACCCTTTGAGCCTAGATAGGCCCTGAACTGTCTTTAGAGGCCCTTGAGCCTAGACCCTCTTTTGCAGAGATGCTTGTGTCGGAGATGCCGCGAGGACTTGCGCACTCTTCGACCACGTTGAAAATTTAGTCCTCGCACTTAGGGCATGCAGGGACCCCAGGGAGTGTGGCATGTGCCAAAAGCCGAGGATTGCTTCTCCTGCGTGGAGGCTCTGCAGCCCTTGCTGCGATCCTGAAGCCCGTGAGTTTAGCTGGAAATCGGAGAGACAGCGATGGCGTTTCGAGCTTTGAGCTCGGCCTTTCAATTGCACGCACCTAGCGAGAGAGTTGGCAGAAACAAACCAGATCTTGAAGTTGCGTTGCGCGAGGGTGCAATAGCTTTCACCGGACAGCGCCGTCGAGGGTTCCAAGAAGGCATGTCCGGGATCAGACGTCTCACAGGCGAGGCCACAAATTCGCAGTATTCAGCATGGCCGTTGGCCACTTTCCGCAAGAGCCCCTGTCGGCTTCGTGTTTCTGCGCAATGGCAAGCAAAATCTCTTTGCTTTGGGATCTTTGGGCGGTTTGCGGGTGCACCCGGTGCAGCCGGTGCAGCTGGTGCAGCCGATACGGAGCAGTGCGCGGTGCGACTGGCGTTTGGCTCTCAGGGCTGCGCAGGCGCCGGGCGCATGGCGGGCGATGGGCTGCGCAGCAAGCATCGGCCGCCCTGCAGGGAGCCCAAGACACCCGATGACCCGATTCCGCACGAATTCGAATTCCATTCGAGAGGAGGAGATCACAATTGGGGTGATCACCCAAAAGCGCAAGGCGCGGAGCCCTCTTTCGAGCAAGTTCCCTTCAAACCTCCAGGGCAAGCAGGGAGAAAAGGCCGACTCTGTGAACCGTGAGTATCAGGCAAGCTGCGCTGGAAGCTTGGCCCATTGGCATCGCCTTGCAGTCTTCTCAGGAGAAGATCGAGTTTCTGCTGACGGTGCCACTCTTTCAGCGGCTCCCACAGGTGCCAGATGCCAGATGCCGGATTCCGCCACTACGCCGAATTTCAGGATGAGCATCCCGTCGTGGCTTCCGTTTGTGAGATCTGCAGATTCAAGCGGATGGACCCCATCATCAGGAGAGCCATGAAGCAATAAGGCATAAGGCAACAGGCGGGCCCGCAGGCAGGGAGCACGGGGAGAAGAGTTCTTTGTGATCAAGTCTGGGCAAGCAGACGTCTACGCGGCGTGCTGAGCCACTTTTTGCATGCCAGATGATTCATGGTTTTCGTCAGCTTGATGGTTTGCCACTGTTTGGCATTTGAGCTTATTTGAGGCCGCCAAGACTGAAGGGAAGCAGGAGAAGATCGCATCTTTGAAGGTGGCATTGCATGGGAAGAAGAGCACACGTTGTGTACCGCACGTGAGGCGGGAGATCACTTTGGTGAAGGTGCCTTGCTGCGAGGCTCGAACATTGAGTGAAGCCGCCTTTTGCGAGCAATGGCATGAGTTGTGTGCAGATGAGCCCCGCACTGCAACCATCGTCGCGATGCTCGCGCCCCAGTTGCAATCGGCGCAAGGTTTTGGTGTTCTCTTCTGCAGGAGCGAGGTGCAAGCCCTGAAGATCAAGCGCTCCGACTTCCAGGCGAGGGGCTCGCGGGACCCGACCGGGACCCGACCGGGACCTGACAGGGACCGGGACCTGACCGGGACCGGAGCGTTAGCTCAGTCGCTGGGCTTGCACAAGAAGCTGAAGTTTGGCCGGCGAGCAGCGGTGAGCTCCAACAAGCAGAGCTTCGACAAAGCCAAGGACACCAAGGACACGACTGTCTCGGAAGCTCGGAGTGTTGCACAGAGGAGCCCACCCCAAAGACGGATGTTGACAAGCAGCTTATTGCCCAGGTCGGAGCTTAGCATTTGGAAGTTTGGACCTGTGAATTGCTAGGCAATGCGCACAAACGAGAACTTGTGGGTGATTGGGAACTTGGAGGACAAGATCCCAGCGATGACTGCAGTGATGTGGAAGGCGCCCGCTCTTTTCAAGGCTTCCTCAACTTGAAGCCTATTTGCGAGGAGTACGTGAAAGCGGGGAAGAGGCTCATTACGGAAGGTGACATGGAGGCATTGGGCTCAGCCTGTGCCCGTGCCCTGCCACGTCACGCGAGCGCCAGTGGGCCAGGCGGATTTCTTCTACGTCGTGCAGGAGGGCAAGTTCGAGATCACGGTCCGCGAGGAGCTGATGCGTGACTGGCCCGCGCCAAGGCGTTACACAGCACTGTTTCTGGATTCGGTCTCGAGAGGAGAAGCTGCAGGGCCTGGGGATCTTGAAAGGCCCGCAGAACTACCTTGCCCGGCCCCCGGTTGGCCGACTTCGCCGTCCATGGCCGAGCTGAATGTCTGAGGTGGTGGGTCAGTCGAGGAAAGGCGACGGGCGGGCGGCTATGCTAGCGTAGCGGGGTCGTGGATGACTCGTGGATGACTCGTGGTTTTCCTTTTCAATTGCTTCAGCCCGCAGTGCCTGGCTCGAGGCTCGAGGCTCGGGGCTTTATCTGCCATGGCGAAGCGGGCCAGGACGGAACACTTCCCGTCCATCTCCAAGATCCAGTTTGAAGGCCCGCAAAGCATCAATCCCTTGGCCTTCAAGTACTACCAGCCCGATGAGGTGATCATGGGCAAGAAGATGAGGCGCTATCAAGAAGCTATCCACGTCTTAGATGTCTTGCCCTTTTACAAAAAATCGGAAAGGTCTTCTTCAGTCTTCCTCTCGTGCAAAACCGGTCTTCTTCAGTCTTTTAGAGTCTTCCTCACTCGTGCAAAACCGTGCCCAGGGATTGGTGCAGATTCGCAGTGGCCTGGTGGCACACCTTCAACGGGCAGATGGGGACGGATCCCTTCAGCAATGTCAAGACGCATCTGAGACCTTGGGATGTAGACGCCTCAATGGACACCTTCCTCACCCGCGTCGATGTGGCGTTTGAATTCTTCACGAAGTACCCTGGTGCGCACTTCATAGGTTCGTGTATTGCACCCGTCGCTCCGTCGCTCGATGTGCTGCCTGTGTCTTGTGAGGCTCGGCGTGGACTACTATTGCTTCCATGATGTGGACGTCGCCCCGCAGGGAAAAGACCTCAAAGAGTTTCAGGCAAATCTGGACACCATTTCAGACAAGCTGTTGAGCAAGCAGAAGGAGACCGGTGTGAAGCTGTCGGCAGCCCAAAGAGATTCGGTCACTTGCAACACTTGCTGCCGAGCGTGCACCGAGGCTGTGGTCGACCCAGAACCTGTTTTCGCACCCACGCTACAAGGATGGGGCTGCAACAGCACCCAACTTTGACTCCTTCGCCTATGGCTGTGCTCCTTGGATGTGACATGTTCCGGATTCCGGCCGCACCGCGGCCGCACAGGCAGGGCGCCAAAGCCATTGTTGCTTTCAGCTCCACCTTGCATGAGGGGTACTCAAGAACTACTGAACTAGACTGAAGCACATGGAATTCTGCATGCTTTGTGCAAGCCAAGCTTTTAAACTGGAAGCATTACTGCATCCCCGAATCGAGTGCTCAACGCTGCGTCGTAGCTAGAATGAATGGAACGAGCGGAATGTGCTATATATATATATATAGCTGTTACCCCCTGTTAAATACTACATGCTTCTCGAGCAGTACAGTTGGGCTACATCCGCTGCCCATACATCCCAAGGCCGTGAGCCTATGTACAGACCTGCCTTAGTACAGCTACAGTAGACAGTACATCATTGCCCAGAGGAAAACAACTGCGCTTCACTTCACACACAGGTCATCACATCAGGTAATTAGGTATACAGTTGCTCCAAGTTTAACATGGTAGCGGAGCGGTGATCCCTGGTACACGATCCACACACACTATCCAGGGTGAGCTCCAACACGCACCCACAGGTTCAGGCATACATTTACACACCTAGAAAGATCTGGCGGCCTTTCCATACAACACGCAAGGAACGGCGGCCCAACAACAACAAGAGCAACAGCATCAGCTGGAAGCAATTCACAAGTACAAGGTAGCACCACCACGATTCACAGGAGAATGCAACATGTTCGAAGAATGTACGGGCTACAAGACCCTTCATACAACAGACTGCTGAGCACCCACAGCTGCCAGCTACAAACGGCCAACTTGAGACATTCACAAGCAGTAGCAGAGCATGGATACAACTGAGCAACAACTTACACTACATCTTGGTGAGCGCACGGCGGCCACTACACCTGAGATACTCCATACCACTTGGCACACGAGGCATTGGGTACCTAACAAGGTTACTCAAACCACAGCTTGATGAACAGAAGAGAGCTTTACAACATGGGAGTTTCAACTCACCAGCATACACACGACCAGACATCAGCTATGGAGCAAAAGAGCTAGCAAGATCACTACAAGCACCAACACGACTTGACAACAAGAAGCTCAAGCGCATGATAAGGTACCTTAAAGGCACAAGGTACTTGCGACGCAGCCTGCAACCAAAGATACAGACACAGGACAAACGAATCCCACTCAACATCGATACACACACAGATGCCAACTGGGCATCATGCGCGACAACAAGAAAGAGCACAACAGGATTTGTGATACACTTGTTCGGAGCAGCGATACACTTATGGAAGCACAGCACAAGCAACAATGGCACTTTCATCAGCAGAGTCAGGGCTGGTACAGCAGCACAGGAGAGCCTCTACATCAGCAACTTCATCAAGGAAGCATTTGGAGTACGCACCAACATCAGGATACACGCAGACAGCAGCGCAGCTAAACCATCACGATGCGAGAAGGTACGTCAAAGAAAGCAAACCACATTCAGCTGCGACACTCTCAACAAGCACATGCACACAGTTGGCCGGTGAGGCCATCGCAACCGTTTCACACCAGTAAGTACAGTAGTTAGCAAAACAACAGTTGCACAGGTCGCCTTTCCTTCTCTACAACGAAAGTGAAAGCGCTACAACTTAGTTTCACTTAGGATATCCGGAGCCATGGTACATCTTTTCTGGGAGTTCTACAACCCCCTTACAATGGTTTTTCTGCAAGACACATGTCAAACATGGATTTGCACCCTTTTTACCTTTTACATCAGTGAGGTACATTCTTCCTGACACATCGGACCAATGGACATGCAGGCCTTGACAGCGCGTGCTACATCAGATGAGCACACCGGAAGGCGATACGGCGCGCACTTGTTTACATCGCTGACATTTGTGGGATTTCACAACATCAATTGCATCAACGGCAAGGAGGCGCGCAACATCATGGAGTGGCACATCGAGAAGACCACAGGCGCAAACCGTGTTCTGTACGTCGCTTCTACTGCAAAAGAATACAACAGTTTGAATGGTGATTTGACTGGACTGCAGGCCAACATAAGCAGGCCATTTTGCGAGCACATGATCTACAACACCAGTCCATTTGATGCTCTCACAACTTTGACCTACCTCTTCAGAGCGCAAGATTTGCCAATACAATGTTCTCGACATGCTCGGGTCTACAGATCCTCAAGTACATCAGCCAGGTGAACACGTCGTGCGAGGAGCTCATCAGCAGCAGCCAACATGGACGAGGTTACAGCAGTGTCTGGAAAGAGGCCAAGAAACGCGCGAACATCATGGTCAACTGCGATTTTTGGCGGTACACATGTGGCACAGTCGGCCAGCTGGATACAACATTTGCTTGAAACAGCAGCTGTTTTACACCTGCTTTTGACACCACGACCCACAAGGAAGTTGCACAGCTTGGTACACATCCTTTTTACAGTGGCAACATCCATTTTCAACATTTCAGGAGAATGTGTACAACATTATCCTGAGGAGGCGTGTTAAATACTACATGCTTCTCGAGCAGTACAATTAAGGGGGGCATCCGCTGCCCATACATCCCAAGGCCTTGAGCCTATGTACAGACCTGCCTTAGTACAGCTACAGTAGACAGTACATCATTGCCCAGAGGAAAACAATTGCGCTTCACTTCACACACAGGTCATCACATCAGGTAATTAGGTATACAGTTGCTCCAAGTTTAACCTCCCCTACCTTTGTCTGCTAGAAAGCCCTTTTAGAGTTGAATGCAGTTTTTCTCGGATTGCCCCACGCGACTTGCCCAGCATCAGCTCAAACTAAGCAAGGATGTGCTCTTCAAAATCTAATGTGGAATAAGAAGTCCACCCATTTCAATTCTAATTAGAAATTGAACAAATACAATCCTGGAAGCTCCTTAAAAGCCTCACTCAAATCTATGTTGGGACAATACTTCTAATTGAAGCTTGTGTAAATCCTTATCGAATTCTCTTGAATTCTAAGGAAAAGCACAAGCAAGGCAAACACAGTGAGTTTTTTAGAACAAAAACCAATGGCATTCATTGAAACACATCTACGAGAACTTAGTCCGATTCCTATAACCGTGAGTCAATGACCCCTAAACCCTACACCCTAAACCTGTTAATTCCATTTTGAGGTTTGGTCAGAAGATGCAAAAACAAAAGCCGCTATATTGGAGCCACAAGTGAAAAGGTAAATCGTAAAATAGCAAAATTATGAAGCCAATGGCCTAAAAGTAAACAGGGAAATTTCCGGAATTTTTCTTTTACTTATTTTCTTGCATACTTTCTGGGCTGTTGGCTCCATATGTTGCTTTTTTGTCCGTTTTCAGTTTTGGGCCACTGGCTCCAACATAGCTGTTGTTTTGCATTTGCTGGCAGAACCTCGAAGAACACACTGCAAATACAAGTGAATTCTAAAGGAAGGTAGATCCATGGGGGGGAACCTTGCATATGTCTACACATGCTACAGTAGGCTGTGTGTGTAGTGTTCTGATTACGTCAACAAAAAGCGGAGCTGCTCTTTGCACAAAGCTAAGTTGGCACTGACTAGCAAGCCGCTGTTTAGTCAATAACAGTATTTGTGTTGACAACAGTAGCTGCCGGATATGTCCAAAAGTGCATTGGACGACACCACTAGTACTACTGACGTTGTAGTCAAGAGGCCAGTTGTTCATTGGCTCAAGCATCGACGTCATACACAAAAGGCAGACTTCATACATACATACATACATACATACATACATACATACATACATACATACATATATATATATATACATACACATACATATATATGCATATGGATGTGGTGCCCCTCTACCAGGCCCTCTAATAGAAAGCCGTTAGAGTACACATGATCCTGTGCCACGGATGTGAAGCGTTTTACTCACTGAATGCAGTCCACTCTTGAAGCAGTCGGCGGATCTAGGTGAGGGATTTTGCATAGCCACAATGCCAAGGCGCAAACAAAAAAGATGCTGGACATTGGGAAAAAGCTGGGTGCAGAGACGCACGTCTTTTGGGGAGGTCGAGAGGGCTTTGCAACTGCCCTCAACACGAAGGCGACGAGTGAGGGACTGATGGACTGATCACATGTGATGCAGAAGCTGTTCTGATGCAACTCTTTGGGAGGTCAAGGATGAGCTGGACCACATGGCGAGCTTTCTGAAACTGGCCTTGGCCTATAAGAAGAAAATCGGCTTCTCGGCGCAGTTTACCATCGAGCCGAAAGCGCGGGAGCCTACAGCACATCAATATGACTACGATGCCCAGACTGTCATTGGGTTTCTGTACCAGTCGCGACCTGAGACTGTGTTCTGCGTGCCGAGGTGAATCCGTTTGACCCTACCGCATGGAGTTTTGTCAAATTCAGAGTTTCCGCAGGAGCCGGCATCATGCACTCCCCGAAACCACTCCTACATCGGCCGACTTAAATGCAAGTCCACACGCTGCCTGAAACTCACTATCCAAAGCCAATCTTGCTCGGCCGCAGCCAAGCCAACCAAGCCAACCCCTGCATGCGACAAATGCATCCCTACCCAGAATCAGCGCCCAGAGCCAATCTTGAAATCCCAGCTTTGATTGAAGCAATTGGATGAAGCCCTAGCAACCCGATGGACGAAAAGTCAGAGTCTGCCATTGAGCTAAGCTGAGGCATGGCCTTGAGAAGGACTTCAAGGTGAACATCGAGCCCAACCACACCACACTGGCAGGCGAAAGGGCGAAAGGGCGAAAGGGCGAAAGGGCGAAAGGGCGAAAGGGCGAAAGGGGATGGCAGGGAGATGAGAATGGAGAGGGACGAATGCGTCATGTCAAGCAAGTCGGGAGGCCATGACTACGAGCACGATTTGCGTATGGCATCTGCCCTGGGAATGCTGGGATCCATTGACTGCAATGCTGGCCAGCCATACCTTGGGTGGGACACGGACGAGTTCCCATCAGATCCGAGGTTGGTTTGGCCCAGACAGATGTCACTTTGCACAAGCCACATTTGCCTGACCCGTTCGACGGGTCCACTCTCTTGGCAGGAAGTCGCTGCTGTCTATGCTGATTGTGGTCGAACAGGGGGGAATTGCGCCGGGTGGCAACAACTTCGATTGCAAGCTGCGCCGTGAGAGCACCGACATCGAGGACGGAATTGCCATGTAAATGAATGGATTAATAGTGGTGTAGCGGCGGAGAATCATAGTGATGCTGAGAATGTCAAAGATGCTGGGGATGCCAAGGATGCTGGGGATGCCAAGCATGCCATGATGGATGCCGGCAATGCCAGGATGCTAGGAATGCTGATGATGGTGGACATGCTTTGAGTGGTTTGAGTGGGATGCTGGTGGAGGGATAAATAAAGACTTTGGGCCAGGACATGTTCATCGCCCACATCGGCGGCATGGACTGCTTGGCCCGAGGCCTCATTGGCGCCTGCAAGATGATTGAGGAGGGCCTTATGAAGAAAGCACTGGAGACCAGGCAAGCGCCACGTGCAAATTGCCACTTGGCACTGCTTGCCACTGCTTGCCACTTCTTGCGTCGGCCAGGTATTCTTCCTGGAGTAGCGCCTTGGCGAAGAAGGTGGCGGAGGGCAAAGCAAGCCTCGAAGAGGTCGAGGAGTATGCGCTGAAGTCGCCAGAGCCGTCGACATCAAGCGGCAAGCAGGACTGGGTTTTGATGCGCTGATTTCAAAGGGTCAGTGCTGTATTCCCTTTTCACTTGTTTTCAACGCGAGGAGTACTTGGAGCAGCTGATCAATCGCTACATATGAGCTGACACGAGCTGCAGTGCACTCTTGAGATTTTAATGTGTTCTAGTGAACTTCATCTCTTGAAACAGTCACAAGCATTAGGATAGGAATAGGAACAACATGGAAAAAAATGGAGCAAAAGAGCTGCGCGACTCATGCCCACCATGCGCACGCCGCACGTCGCGTGGCGCTTTGGCCAGGGCAAAGCTTCGGCGAAGTGGCCCTGTGCTGCCGGCGTGTTCGACGTGCCATGGGCGTGGGCAAAGCGCCAAAGCGCCTTACGCGCCGCGCCTCTGTGCCTGACGCGCCAGGCTCTACTGCTCCCCACGGGCGGCCACCGTGAGGGTAGGGCCCTTGCGCGTTGCCCTTGGGCGTTGGCGTTTGGCGCTGCCGTTCCTTAGGCGCTGACCAACTCCGTGGTTTGGGCGCGCCTTCGTTCTCGCAGTTCGCCCGCAGTTCGCTGGCAGTTCGCTGGCAATTCTCGCCATTCTCGCGACACGTGCGGCACTTCGCCAGGTCCTGGACCGCGCGCATTTCAAGGACATCCTGCTGAAGGCATCCCGTTCTCGATCCGACAGCCTTCACAAAAAACCTTGGAGGCCTCGGAAGCCAAGATCCAGGAGTATCGAGGCACGTGGCAAATGCACATTCCATTGTCTCGAGACATTTTCTGAGGTTACTTGGATAATGTGCCACTCCTGCCACTGCCCAACTGTCCCATCCAACTGTCCCACGTCCAAGTGTCCAGCTTCGCTGTGCTCAGGTCTGCTCTGCTGAAGGAGGAGAGGAATGAGCTTGCTCGGGTGGGGCTTGGCCACTCAGAGCTCGTCACGTGTTTGTTCATGAGGCACTCGTTGAGATGCACTTCTCCGAAGGCCCAGTTTGAGCATTGCGCATTTCCCCGTGTCAGCGGAAGGAATGTCCTTGTCGCTATTTCCATCTGCCAGGTGAGAAGATCATCACGCAGCACGAGACGGGGAACACTTTTTACATCCTTTTTGCAGGTAGTGTTGACGTGTACAAGGCAGGAGAGTATTCCCCGGTGAGAGAGCAGAACCGGCATTCTCATCGTTTCTTTCAGGACGAGATGCAGGTCACATCTCTGGAGGTGAGAGGGCTACTCATGAAATTCCTGCTGAGTTGCTATTTCCAGGCCAGCGTGAGCCGAAAGACTGCCCAGTACTTCGGGGAATATGCCCTGTCTGCCCGGCAATTGCACGTTGCATCGCACTTGGAACTGCAGCAATACGAGGATAGAGAACGAGAAGCGCACCGCAACCATCCAGGCAGTCCGACGGTGCAATCGACGCTTCGAGAAGCTTTACGTGCCAGGTCCGGTCGCCAACGGCGAGGTGCCTGGTCTTGGATCGCGACTCCTTCCAGAAGCTGCTTGGGCCACTCAAGGAGAATGCTCGAAGAGCCGGCGATGGGTTGCAAGTGTCTTTCGATTTACGGTCTCCCTCGTTGAGCGTGAGGAGATCATTGAGAGCCACAAGGCCATAGGGAAGGATCGCTGGGCGCAGGAGCGCCGGCCTGAGAGGCGTGTTGCAGTCCCTTAAGGTCAAGGCATCTTATGTCTAGGCACAAAGGCATCTCAAGCATCCGAAGCATCCGCAGCATCCGCAGCTCCAGGCGCACTTCCGGCCCAGAGGCGGCGCTCGCGGCGGACCGCGAGAAGATCTTCAAGCAGGAGCGACGTGAGAGACGCGTCGCGCGCGTGGCGTGAGAGGCTCATGTCACGACTCTCCTGCTTTGAAGATCTGTGAAGCCGATTGAATCCGAGGACCTGTCGTATGTGGGGCTGCTGGGGGTTGGAGGCTTCTCCAAAGTGGAGCTCTGGCAGCACATGGCCCGGGCCTCAGCGCGGCACACCGCAAGGCCTGACCGGAATCGGGAGCGGGGCCGGCTTGAGGTGAGTGGGACCAGCTACGCCCTGAAGGTCATGGACAGGGGTGCGCCTGGGTTTAGTAGTGAGGGGTCCGTCGCAAGCTCGCAGTGTGTCACAAGCCAGGCCACATCCAGAAACACGGGATGGAGGAGTGTGCAACGGGCTTGCACGCACGAGTGGGGCATAAGAAGCAGGTCTCCCGCTTTCATTCTTGTCACAGCTCGAGGACACTGTGAAGAGTGAGAAGAAGGAACGCAACACGAGAGAGAGAGAGAGAGATGTCGCAACTTCCATGTAGGCGATGCTGATGACTCGGAGCCCCTGGGTAGTGCGCCTCGTGGAGTGTTACACCAGCTGGGCCCCGAGCGGAAAGGAGAGACGAGAGTGCCATTGGCCAGGCTTCCAGGATTTGGACAAATTTACACTCGTGAGGCGTCAATACCTTGGAAATCCTCATGGAAGCGTGCCTAGGACACAATTTGGTTGGCCGATGTACTTTTCCTTTGCGCCTTTGAGCGCAATGGAATTGGGAGGAGGAGAGCTTCTGGCCACTTATTCCAGGCGAGGGGCAACATGCACGGCACGCGAAGTGTGCGCGGGTTGCTTTGCAGGAAGGGCCTTTGGGGGTCGTTGGAGCATACACGCTACTACGTGGCTGGAGCCGTGATGGCGCGCGCGACAGAGAGCGAGAGACGGCCTTCTTGCAGCTTTCAAGAGATGTTAGGCGCTGGAGCACATGCACGAGCGGCGCATGGTCTACCGGGTCCGCGTTTGTCTTCGGGTGGGACCATCGGACCGTAAATGCGTCGCGAGGACCTAAAGCCGGAGAACATCGTGCTGAACAGCGGAGGGTACCAGTTTTTCTTTGCACGACTCAGTTGGATGGGTTTCCCTCTCTAGGCACATGAAGCTGACAGACCTGGGCTTGGCCAAACTGGTCATTGGCAAGACCTACACCACGTGCAGACCCTGAACCGCTTGGATTCGCTGGATCTCGCTTGATCAGATTGAGGTGTGGCACACCAGAGTACTTCGCCCCGGAGGTGATTGCGTGCCGGGCTGAGAGGTGCTGAGGTGCCACTGGTGTAGACTTGTGTAGACTTGTGTAGATTTGTGTAGACTTGTAGAGGCTGTCCGGGCAGACACTGGCGGTTGAAGCTTGGAGTGATTGGGACGTTTCCGCGAAGCTGGTGGGAGGGCGAGACGAGGATTGGTGGACGCTGGGGGTCTTCATCTATGAGCTCATGCACGCACCTCACGACCTCACGACCTCACGACCTTACGACCTCACGTGGCAGCCATGCAAGGGCTGAGAGCAAGGTGCAGCTCCACTCCTTTCATTGCCTCGCACCCCATGCAGATCTATGCCAAGGCAGTACTGCGCTGCCTTGCTGCCTTGCTGCCTTGCTGCCTTGCTGCCTTGCTGCCTTGCTGCCTTGCTGCCTTGCTGCCCTGCTGTCCCGACATCCTATTGACCTAAGGTGATGAGGGGCATTGACAAGAATCATTTCCCTGGCTCATGCCAAGGCTCTGGATCCCATAAACAATGGGAGGGGGCAGTGGCGTATGCAGGCGCCCCGGAGCATTTGGTGAAGGCCCTGCTCAGGCCGTCAGCACAGCGAAAGCGAGTTGCGAACCTTCCGACATCTTTGGACTGGTGCAGGCCGCATCCGGGCGAGCGCTTGCCCATGAAGAATGGAGTCAAAAGTGTCAAGGACCGCGGTGCTCTGATCAGCTTGGACAGACTTCGTCTGCTATGCAGGAGCACGACTTTTTCGAGTCGCTCGATTGGAATGCCATGCGGGTGCGCCACCATCGCCCATCACAATCCCTTCAGCCCCTTGACACCATGCGCCACCGCGCAAGGCAGATGCTGTTGCGCCACCGTACATCCCCGAAGTCGCCGATGAAAGGGTGGGACTTGGGAGTGCCGCGTTGATGCAGCCAGATCTGTGGGCAGGACGTGTCCAATTTCTTTGCAGATCCAAAGGCCCGGATTCGGCTCTGACAGTGTGCAGAGTGCACGGACATGTTTCCGTGTTTCCGTTTGCGCCGAGGATGTGGCAAGTCCATTAGCCTTCAGAGAAGACGACACAGGCGGGGACCTGACGCACCGGGATGCTTCAGCAAGGGGCGCAATGGAGGCTGTGCGCCGTGCCGGGCCATGTGACGCATGACGGTTCCCGGTTCCGAAAGCCTGGGGATCACTCTATCTGATTCTCCTGATTCTCCTGCTTCCATGGACCGCAGGCTGGGACGACTTCCCCACCGTGGACTGACGGTCACAAGTCACAAGTCCATCGCTTCCAGTTGGTGCACCTTCGTTTCATTGTACAGGGCATCCATGTAGACACGTCGAAGTCTGGCGGCGAAGCCGTCGGCAGAACCTGGCTCACTCCCCAAAGGGAGCGTCGAATTCGAGAGATCGGAGAATCCGCCAAGTTGGGGAGTGCCCTGGTTAAGACTCCGTCGCAGTCTCTCTGGATTGGCACATGATTGGCACCTGCATCCATCGGCCCAGGATTGTTATTGTGCACAGGTGACATGTAGCAATCAATGGCCGTGGCGAGACACAGGTAGCACAAGATAACACGACACCCGCTGCGTGACTTCACTCCCGACGTGTGATGACAGAGGTGGAAGGGACCACCACAGTGCAGGCCCGGGGCTCATGAGTTCAGGGGCTTGGGGGGCTCGGGGGCTCGGGGGGCTCGGTGCTCGGGGGGCTCGGGTGCAAGACGGGCGTGTCCTCTGAGGTGGCGGTGCGAGTGCGGCCTCTCAGCGACAAGGAGATCAAAGAGGGTGGCACAGAGTGTGTCGAGGCGGGTCCATTCTTGCCCAGGCCAATAGCGCCTTAGCGCCCCAGGTCAACGATGCCACAGTGACCCTCCACCAAGACAAAGACCAGCCGCCGGCCGTCTTCGCCTTCGATCATGTACCGGCGCCCAGAAATACGTCCAGAAGCTATGACATAGGACTCTAAGCTCTTCCTTTTGAGCTGACGCAAGCTACGCAAGCCACGCAAGCTACGCAAGCTACGCAAGCTTGCTTGCCGCTTGTTTGCCGCTTTGCGAGGTATTCGGCCTGGACTCCACACAGCCGCAAGTCTTCGAAACGCCGCGGCCTTGCGTTCCCAGTGAGTTGCGAGTGTTTCCGCTTTTCCGAATCCTCCGAGTCCTCCGAATCCTCAGAGTCCTCCGAATCCTCAGAGTCCTCCGAATTCTCCGAGTCTTCTTCCGAGTTTTTTGAGAGCTCTTGCAACTCCAGCTTGGGGGCTTTGTTTCGCTGTTTGGCTGCCATTTGTGTGGCCATTATGCTCTCAATGGACGCTTTCCTCCACTTGCAGCACTTCCATTTGTGCGGCCGTTCTGATTTTGTGTTTAGCTTTCCTTGGAGCTCGTTTTCACTTGAAACGTTTTCAGACATTCAGGTTTGGCCATGTGTGACCCCTATTTGTGTCCCTTGGAAAAATCGTGGGTTGGCTTTGTCTCAGCACCGTTCGAGGGTGTTTTGTGTCAGTTCGAGTTCTCAAGTGCAGGCGAAGTCAGCAGATCTCTGTGAATTGCCGTCCCCCTTTGCCAAACCAAAGCCCGCGAAGGTGCCGCGTTCGCAACTTAGGCTCGGCATGCCTTTGCTGGACAAAGCCTTCGAAGGCTACAACGCCACCATCTTCGCCTATGGCTGCATCCTAAGATCCCAAGATCCCAAGATCCCAAGATTCGCCAGAGATTCGAAGCGCTGAAGGCCAAACTGGGTCGGGCAAGACCCATACCATGATGGCAGACAGGAAGTCGGACGACCGGGGCCTGCTGCGCGCTTAGCCCTTCCAGTGCTCTGTTTCTACTTTGAAACAGAAACACATGTTGCTTCCGTGAATTGCATGCACTTCCGACTTGCGGACGAGGATTCCCCGCATCTCCGACAACCTCTTCCAGAGGGTGAGTCGGCTGACCTCGGACCGAAGCAGATTTTTGAGATGCCGTGATGCAACATGTGTCCGAAGGACAGCCGGAAGTTCCTGATTTGCTGCTCCTTTCTTGAAATCTACAATGAGGCAGGGGTGCCAGCCCAAGAACATCCAACTGGTGTGGGATTTGCCAGATCGTCTACGACCTCCTGGTTCCGCGCGGGAAGAACACCCCCAAAACAGGCCTCGAGATTCACGCGCTCCGTGCATTTCTCGTTTCACAAGGCCTCGAGATTCGGGAGGGCAAAGGCATCGGCGTCTACGTCAAGGTGTCTCGAGGGAGGTCGAGTCGAGGTTCGCGTTCAAATCTGGCAAGGACTTGCAAGAGATCGTGGTGGACACTTCCGACAAAGTCCTGAAGCTCATCGACCAGGGCGCGGTTGCGATGAGTTGATTTTCTTGTGTCAACTGGCCTTCAGGCTTCGAGCACCGGGCCACAGCCGCCACTCAAATGAATGCAACGAGTAGCCGATCGCACTGCCTCTTCATCATCAAGATGCATCAGAAGGATTGCTTGCCATGCCCCCTGTTTCAACGCGGAAAGCGCGTTTGGGAATTCGCAATACTGCGGCTCCGCATCTAGAGACTTCATGTCTAGCCAATTCGTTGACACATTGACAGGCGTTGTCATGGTATCTTCTTTCGAGGATGATCAGAACGCCGCGAACAACAACTTCTCCAAGATGAATCTGGTAGACTTGGCCGGCAGTGAGCGAGCCTCCCGGACGGGCGCGCAGGCGCACCACCGCACCACCCCCGGGCCTCGTGGTCTGTTTGTGTGTGAAGCGCAAGGGCGACACACTCAAAGAGGGCGCCAACATCAACAAAAGTTTGCCCACAGCTGAGATGAGATGTATGCAGCGCATGGTTTAAGCACGTTGAAGCTGGACTGGTCGAAGGTCGGCGCTGGGCAACGTGATCAATGCCCTTAGTACCATGTCAGGAGGCAGCAAGAAGGCGTGTGGGCGGCGCCGTGTCTTGTGCCGTACCGCAGTGCCGCTTCAGGTCTTCATTCCCTACCGAAACTCCAAGCTGACACGAGTCCTTCAGGCAATTTGGCATGGCTCCCAGCGCATAAATATCACTTGCCCGCAGGAGTCTCTGGGAGGGAATGCGCTGACAACCATGATGGTTCGGGTCCCGAGCGTGAAGCCGGCAGAATGCATTGAGAAAGGAAGGACGCTTGGAGTGAGCTTCTGAGCTTCTGAGCTTCTGAGCTTCTGAGCTGCGGAGACTCGATTCGTGAGGCTGCCTTGTCGCCTTCCAAGACAAACGCGGACGAGAGCTTGTCCACCCTGAACTACGCAAAGCCCGACGCCCTGAGTTCGAGACTCAACAGCTCGCATCTCTCGATTAAGGCGAGCCAAGACCATCAAGGCCTGGAGCCCCGCCGTCTCCGCAAGCTGCGCTTGGCTCTGCCTGAGGTGAACGCCACAAAGTCAATGCCTCGGTTTGGCCAACGCGAAAGTTTGAGAGCCCTAGGAAATGCGCCAATGATTCAATGCATGCCTGTCAGTGTGAGCTCCATGTCTACAAGCTTCCCGGGAAGAACCATCAAACCGCATGAGGTGTACAATGCATGTCCACGCCACATAGGCTATTGGTTGCTAGGCAGGCGCACACACACGCACATATGCACAATGGGATTCACTTGAGCAAAGTCATGCAGAAATTACACTGGTTTGGATTTGTTTTCACTCCATTCACTCGGATTCGGCCTGTATCCAGCTTCGTGGATGTTAAGTGCGTGTTGATCGCTGCTTTGTTTCAGTTTTATGGGTCTTTTCAGCCTGAATGGATCATCTAAGCGCCGAAATTGTGGATGTCGGACGGAGCCGAGGAACGACGAGGCGGAGCAGATCGCCAAGTTGGAGGAGGAGGTCGAAGCACTGCGCACGAAGCTCTCCGAGCAGGCGAGCGGCCTGGCCGACACCAGCCGCGCCCCGAGAGAGAAAGAGAGAAAGGTCCAATGTGCGCCGTGTGCGCCGTGTGCCATGCGAGCTCACGTCCATTACGCTGGAAGGATGTCCGACTCTTGAGCGCCTCAGGCCGTTACGAGAATCAGATCGCCGAAATGGAGAAGTTCATGAAGCAGACTTGGGAGGCGGTTTCTTGGGCCGGGCCTCCGGGCAAGTCGGTGCCCAGTCAGGACAAAGAGCGCCAGTCTCTGGAGCATGAGGAGGAAAGGAAGCGCCTGGAGCAGGAGGACCGTGGATATGAGTTTGGACGAACTCTTGGTTTTTCCCAAGTTGAGCTTGTTGTCCATTGCACTCGCGAGGCGCAGAAGAACATTGAGCGCTTGAACGAGGAGAGGAAGCGCCGGCTGCGGCTGCTGGAGGAGAAGGCGGCCGCATCGGGACAGAAAAAAGCCAGATGCTCCCTGGTGGTTTTGGCACAAGCTTTGAACATCCAGACAGAATCGTTGGAACGAATGGCAGCGACCTGACTGGCAGATTTTCCCCGATGAAAGGAAAAGAGCAACATGAGCAACACAAAAGAAGAGAAAAGCACAGAAAAGCACGAAAAGCAGCAAGAAAAGCAATAAAAACACTAGAGCTGAAGCGGAGTTGAAGATCTCTCGCGCGCTTCCCGCAGGGCGATTTGGAGCTAACGGTGCAGGAGCTGCAGGGCCTCAATGGCGGGGACCGCGGATCGTAGGGGCCCTAGGGGTCTCAACCCGACGTCCCTGGCAAGTCGAAAAGCCGATTGCAGAACCCGACCGTATTACAAGAGAATGTATGCCTCTGAATCGGTTGTTGGAGCACATTGAGAGAAGCCAACTGCTCTGGCTCCATGGTCTCCGCGGATCAGTGAGCAACATGCTACTTTCAGCATCACATTTTGCGCACAGGCCTTGCTCTGAGAAGCTGCACCTAGCCAACCCAATGCACGGTCAGGAAAACGTTTATGGTCCAGGGCAAAACTCATGATCTAATGGTAGCACACACTCCCATTCTACTCAGTCTTCCTTAGCGGATAATGTGGCTTGCTTTCAAGGGCAGTGAGTGAGCATTTCGCAGCGTTGCGTTGTCAACCAGGGACACTGGCGTGAGTTGACAGGATGAATAGGTATAGGTGTCAATGCTGTCAATGATTAAATCAGATGGGGTGCTTGTTGCTTGCAAATAGCCTTTCCGCTCAAGAAGCATAGACTTTCCGTGCACTTGAGAGCTTCAGGCTGTACACCTCAACGTGGTCCGGGCCCTAGCGACAAACGCAGTAGCGACGCGAAAATCGAGTCAGGCCAGGGCAGATCTCGCGGCTGCTCGCCTTGGAGAACCGAGTCACGGCTCAGTGCCTGCGGCCCATCCGTCGCATCCGTGGCATTTTCGTCTTTTCGACGTTGGATCTGAGGGTCGTGGGAAGGCGGGCGTGTGGGGGGAATGACGGCGCGTATTTCCGGCCGGTTGAGGCCGGGCCGCCGCCCTGCTGAAAGACGCGGTGATCCACGACGTGGAGCACTGGTGCGAGAAGCAGAAGCAGGCAGTTGCCTTTCTTGTGAGGCGACCGAGGCGATGGCATCTGGCATTTGGCATTGAGGTGCAGGCGGGGGAGGAGGACGGCACCGGCCTCCGCATGCTGCTGCAGCAGGCGTACGCGAGTGCGAGACTGGAGTTGACTGAGCTCACGCCGCAGGCGGAGCGGAAGGTTGGCACCATGCTGCGGGAGCCAGGGCCCCAAAGCAATGGCAACGACGGGGGAAGCTGAGTCGCTTGCACGGGTTTCCGCGTTTTCCAATGAGTCGTGAGAGTCTGAGACGAGATCAGAGAGTCGAGGTTCGAGTCCCTGGGGAAGCAAGAGCAGGAGCTGGCGGCAGAGGTGGCCACCTGGATGCCCCAGGCCGGACGCGCCGATTCCGACTCCGTGCCTTGTTTTCCTCTCGATCTCAGGTTCAGAGAGCCGTGGTGGGCATCAAGGAGTGTGAGGAGGCCAGGGCTGTGAGCTGCCCATTCCTTGCCCATTCCTTTGCCCATTCCCTTGCCAAATGCCAGGAAGACAAGACCGAAGAAGGGGGCAAGGACACAAGTACCGCAAGCAATGAGGCGCAGAGATGCACGTGAGTCTTCTGCATTGCAGCCGCTGGGTTTCGGACGCTAGTTGCCTCTTGAGCCCTTGAGGTGTCTGAAGAGTTCATTCAGGTGCTGGGTTTGGTCTTGCGGCAGCACGCGCCACAGAAAGCTGAATGCAACGGAGGCTGTCGGCATCAAACTCAGGTTGGACAATCACCGAATGAAGATCTGGGGCCAAATTGCAGAGGCCGGGCGGGATGAACAATGCATTGAAGTTGGTTCGGGATGCAATGCAGGACCACAAAGCGTTGGGTGGCTTCACCACACACCTTCAGACCCTGGCGGACTGCGGCCGCGGACTAGGCGTGGCCTTGCGGCCTTGCCATCGTGCGAACCCAGCAAGCCGCAGGCGCCGATGTCGGTCCGCTACTGGAGGAGATGAAGCCGGGGAGCCATTTCAGTCTTGCAAAAAAAGAGGTTTTCTTTCTTATACAAATCATGTTGATGAAATCTTTGAAAGGCAAGAGGAGGGCTCTCGACGCTTGCCGAATCACGGCGACGAGGCCGGATCCGCTTTTCAAGAAAGAAAGGCCTTCCGCCGTCCGTCAGGTCGCAGCAGCTTTGGCATCACCCCAAGGCCTGACATCAGAGGAGCTGCCGGATGCCAACATCTCTGCCAGCTCCAACCCCCAGGCTTCGAGCCGAGAGAGTTTCGAGAGTCGGGCGCCGGGCGCCGGGCGCCGGGCGCCGGGCGTCGGGCGTCGGGCGTCGGGCGTCGGGCGTCGGGCCGAGTCGTTGGGATCTCGGGACGTCTCTCGCGTCAGGCCTGCGGCTCCGTGCGGCTCCATGGCGGGGTCAATCGCATGAAGGCGGCCTTCAGTGGCCTCATGCTGAGCAATGAAAGAATGACAGGCCAGAATCCAACCGAAAGAGAAAATCAATGAATGAACAAATGAGCTCAAATGAGATCAGAGGAGAAAAAGCGCGCAAGTCTGAGGCTGGAGCCCGGTGTCAGATGCAGCATCTGAATACATCCAGGTGCGGCACTGGAGCATCGGGCGCTGTCGCGTATGCGCGCACGCTGAGCGCTAGGTGGACCTGGCCAAGCCGATCTGGGCAGCACTCTCAGCGAGCGAGATGGCCAGGGATGGCAAGGGATGGCAAGGGATGGCAGCATAGCGATGGCAGCATGGAAGGTGAGCAGCTTCGCCATGCAGGGCCGCAGGAGGGCACACCAGAACTCTTAAGTCAGACGTTTGCTTCGCTTCTTGCTGTCATGCTTCGCCTCTTGCACGCGCTTTGTGAGGCCCATCAGCGGTGACTGGGAGGCGACGCGGCCGCTGCTGGCCGAGGCAAGTGGCGCGATGGCCCGACTCCAGGATCAAGAAAACGGTCTTGAACTGCATGAAACATCATGAAACTTCATGAAGCATGAAACATCACATCCAAAGATGCAATCCGGCGCTTACGAGTGACACAGCCAACGCCAGTTGCTGGATCCGGGGGACCCGCTGCCCCCGAGCAGGCCAGCTGAAGCTCACAAGTGCTACGCAGCGCGAAGCGCCGTGAGCGATGCGTAGCGGCACAGGTTCTTTAAGCGGCCGCCTGTGCGGTTGATCCATGACGTGGTGGTGGCAGCCTCCCGAGATGAGAGACACTAGGCATTGCTATCCTGATTGACACATGCAATGATACACACACACACGCATATGGGTACATGTATATATATATATACACATGTACTGGTATGTAATTGTTAGACTTGGAGCAATCGTATACCTGTTTACCTGAAGTGTTGAACCTGTGAGTGCAGTGAAGCGCTGTTGTTTTCCTCAGGGCAATGATGTACTCACTACTGTAGCTGTACTAAGGCCCGAGGCCTTGATTGCACATGGCAGCATCCAGGTGTATTGGGATGCATGTATCTTAACACGCCTCCTCAGGATAATTTTGAATACGATCTCCTGAAATGTTGAAAATGGATGTAGCCACTGTACAAAGGATGTGTACCAGGCTGTGCAACTTCCTTGTGGGTCGTGGTGTCAAAAGCAGGTGTATAACAGCTGCTATTTCAAGCAAATGTTGTATCCAGCTGTTTGACTCGCCACTCATGTGCAAAAGAGCCCAAAAAATGCTGTTGTATGCTGCTGTGACGTCCTCCTCGCGGTACTGGTGTAATTAGGATGTAGTTCCTGATTCTGCACATGGCGCCAGCCTGGTGTCCACGGATTCTCTCAATGTCATGGTGCTTGACAGCTTGTGTCTGCAGGTGACGAAGGGCGGCATTGTGGTGATCCGTGCTGATGTACTTGAGGATCTGTCGACCGGAGTACTGCATCACCAGAGTCATGGCCGCGTGGATTGTCTCATTTTTTCGGTTGCAGTCTGCAGGTCGCTCAGGCTGATGGTGGCGTTGTAAGCACAAGCAAAACCGCCAAACCAACAACGACAAAGACAAGTTATTTTGCTGTAGATGCTGTCAGGGCAGTTTTATATCAGAAGCACATTTAAACTCTCAATAAGAGATTGTGTGGCAGATGAAACCCAACACACAGAATTACCAGAAGAAGGAACAACAGTGACATTTGAAAAACATTTTAAGAAACTGAAAGCGCCATTTGCAATTTACGGTGTTTTGAATAAATGTTTGACAACAGAAACGCCAGATTGATTGAAGGGATCGTATCAAAATCACAAACCCAGTGGATACATGCTGAACCTTGTTAATGCTTGTAATGGAAAACGACACCTTACTTATACAGAGGCGAAGATTGTGCTGATAAGTTTTTCGGTGCTTTGAGCAATATTAGGGACGGCGTTCTGGAACAAATCAAAAAACTGAAAAGATACGATCGCTTCAGATTTAGATTGCTAGTGCTGTCAAGAACAAAGTAGGAGCAAAAAGAAGTTGCCGATCACTGCCTTCTTTACAGGATTGTCGAGGGGCGGCGCATATGAAATGATTTAAAATTTCATACCCCTGGTTTCTTTCACAATCTTAAAACACAGAGAAATGACAAATATCAGTAGCGCAGAACAGCGAGAAATTCATTACATGTCCACTGGACAAATCAGAGTTTAAGGCCAGTTTCAGTTTCTTTTCATCGTCATGAGAACAGTTGGTTAAATTATCTAAGTATGATATCAGGAACTAGGACCTGACTAGGAGCATCACTTCAAATGTAGTTTCAAAGGCAAGTTTTAAAGACAAAAATGATTTGCTGTTATTGACAGAAAAGGAAGTATCCTTATGCTTATTGCAACGACTCCAATAAATTTATTGAAGCAATTTTTCGGAAACGAGACGTTTTTACGGTAGATTGAGTGAAGAAGATAGAAGCGATGCTGCCTATGAAAGAGCAAAACTAATATGGAACATTTTAATATATAAAACCTTGGCGAGCATCACGATTTGCATTTAGAAACCGATGTATTACTAGTAATTGGTGTGTATGAAAAAATTCAGAAAACAATGTCTAACATATCATGAATTAGACCCAGCACATTATCACACATTACCTAACTTTGCTTGAGAAGCGATGGCGTAAAACACGGGGATTGAACTCGAACTTTGAATGGTTGAGAAGGGCTTTAGAGGCGGTGTGTGACAGGTTTCGATGCGAAAAGATGTAGCGAACAACAAGAATATGGGTGATGCCTATGATGAACAACGCCGTCATCCGACATCAGTTAGTTAGACTCTAACGATCTTGACGGTCTGGCACTGTGTAAGAAACTACCATACAAGAAAATTCGGCTTGTAGCAGACAATTTCACAGAAGAAGGCGTGAAGTGTCATAACACTGAGTATAGCAACCAAGGACAAATACTAGATGTTGATCTAGAATATCCAAAAGAATGTCACGACAAACATACTGATTTGCCATCTGCGCCAGAAACTATGAATGTAGCAGCGGATATGTTGAGCGACTACCAGAAGGAAGCGTACAAAGCGTATCACTTGAACAACGGCCCAGACTTGAACAACGGCCCAGACGATGGGAAAACCAACAAGTTTATACTCAATGCTATGGATAAATCATGTCGAACACATTGACATTCTAAAACTGTTTCTTAAACAAGGACTGAAAATTTCAGAAAAGAAGCAGGGTAATAGAGTTTAGACACAAGCAATGGATACAACTGTGGAGTAACAGAAGGGAAGCAAAGGGCAACTTTGAAAAAGATATGTATAAACTGAGGAAGAATGCGATTTATGAGAAACCTTTAGAGAACACACGAGGTCGTATAGACTTTGAGTTAGTTGACACACACCTGAACGTCACCAAAAGGCGTGTGTAATCCAATTTTTAAGCGCACCCATCATCAATGAGCATCTCTAGGAGGATGACGAGCGTAGTGAAGCTTAATAAACCTATTCATGGGAATGTCTGCTTTAGATATTCCAAAACATCTTATTTGTTCATTCTGTTATGATGTACTGAAGCCTAACTATGAACATGACACCAGGATGCTTCATATACAGATACTGATAGTTTTGTTTGACATACGCAAACAGAGGACATTGCGACCTTTGCGGAAGATGCGGAGGTCCAAGATGAGTTGGGGCAGGAGCTGAGGAGAGAAGAGGAAGCTGAAAGTCTTCGAGCTCTACGGCGTCAGGCAAGAAGAGAAGAGGCAGGAGGAGAGGCTCAGCAGTAAGCAATGCTGACGAAAGGTCGAGAAGCCCTGAGCTTTGTCAGATTTCTCAGGGCAGGCCCTTTGGGCGCGCAAACACTTTTGCCAAAGGTTGAGTAGGGCTGCGGAGTTGGCTTGGGCGACTATGTGGTCAGTCTAGCGCCAAACTTATAAAATGCCGAGTCCCTCACAGTCAATGCAGATGACGGCAGCGACCGTAGCAAGACAGCAAGGGTGAGTGCGAAAATCGCGGAGCAGTATCCGTACTTGAGAAGGCCAGAGCCAGTTTGCCACTGGCCTCAACGATGGAAAGGAAGCTGCTCTCACGCACGAGGTAGAGAGTGGGTAGCACCCCATCCAGAGAGGGCAATGGCCTCGAGTGCCGTCCTCCACCGCGTGACAAGTACGCCAAGCAACTGCCAGAGTCGGCGCGCTCAAGGCTATCGGGGCACAAGGGTGAAGCATGGAAGATTGACATGGAGCAGTTGAGGCTGAGTGAGGCAGAAGTCTCTAAGGAATGGAGCTTTGGCAGAAGAGTTTTCGGCGCGCTACGCCGGCTTGGCAACGCGGCAGCATCCATGTTCAACTCATTCGTTGGTGCTGGTCCTTGGTTGTTGTCGTTGTCCCTCCAACGCCGCGTTCACGCGTGCCGGCAAGGTACGCCTGGACACGCCCAACGTATGGTCAGCGCACGCCTATGACATGTTTCCTCCACCAAAGTTTGGCTTAGCTTTGTAGACTATTCGGGGAAGCAACATGCTTTTCAATCCACTTGTTTTGTGTGTTAAAGTTGATGGCAGGCGTGGGACATTGCGCTGAAGGCCACATGACGCTTCATATTTGCTGGTTTCGTGGTCGGCTTGAGGAGACAACGCTGTAAGCTGTGCGTCGTTTGCTACGTTCCCCGGGCCTTGAAAGTGTGCTCGGCGCCGTAGCTTTGTATAGGAACGCACGTGTTGGCATGCTGGGCTGCCACCCGGCTGATGCTTTTGACTTGTCCAAGGATGAGCGCTGGCTCTGGGCCGAAGTAGGGCTGATGGGTTTCCAAGGTGTGTTTTCCCAGCGGCTCTTTGGCTTGAGCCAATGATCAGATAGCCATACCACAAGCAAATGCCTGTTGCCAGTTCCCCGAGAGTGTGTGACTATTAGCCCACCTACCACTTTAGAACACAGAACGCAAGTTAACAAAATAACTGTGAGTTGTTGCCCAAACCATGAAGGCCCCAGTGTTCGTTTTTGCTGGCAGCAGTGTGGGTTTTCCATGTAGTGGTATCAAGATGTATCTTTTCCCCCTCAGATTTGAGCAAAATGGAACTTATAAAAGACGTGTGTCGCGCGTGTACGCAGCGTTCGACCGTCGTTGTTGTTGTTGTTGTTGTTGTTGTTGTTGTTGTTGTTGTTGTTGTTGTTGTTGTGGTTGTTATTGTTGTTGTTGTTGTTGTTGTTGTTGTTGTTGTTGTTGTTGTTGTTGTTGTTGTTGTTGTTGTGGTTGTTGTTGTTGTCGTCGTCGTCGTCGCGGTTGTTGTTGTTGTTGTTGTTGTTGTTGCCAGAGATCTAAGTTTTGTGCATGGGTTCTGTAGGTGTTGCTGTGGTGGTCCATTTGTCTCATTGCGCAGGATCGCGATTTTAATTGCGTCTGGTAACAGAGTGGTGTTGTCTTGTTCGTATTTGGCGAGTTGAAGCTCCCATGTTGTAAAGCTCTCTTCGGTTTTCTGTTCATCGAGCCGTGGTTTGAGTAACCTTGTTAGGTACCCAATGCTTCGTGTACCAAGTGGCATGGAGTATCTCAGGCATAGTGGCCGCCATGTCTCAAAGCCGTTGACTTGCATGTTCTGTTTGCGCATTGCAGATGCTGGTCCATTGCAGGTGAGCCGCAAGATGTGTAAGTTGTTGCTCAGCTGTATCCACTGCTCTGCTACTGCTTGTGAAGGTGCTGCCGTCTCAAGTTCGTTGTTTGTAACTGCCAGTTGTGATTGCTCTGCTTGCCTCAGTAGCCTGTTGTATGATGGGTCTTGTAGCCCGAGGTATGCTGCCATCTTGTACTTTCATTCTTCAAACGTGTTGTGCTCTGCTGAGAATGTGGTGGTGCTAGCTTGTACATTCCAGCTGATGCTGTTGCTGTTGCTCTTCTTGTTGTCATTGTTGTTGGGCCGCCATTCATTGTGTGTTGTATGGGAAGGCCGCCAGATCTGGGTTACAGTGCTCCCTGCCCTGCTACCATGTTGAATTTGGAGCAACTGTATATCTGTTTACCTGAAGTGTTGAATCTGTGAGTGAAGTGAAGCGCTATATGCACAAGTCTATATATGTTATGTTATTGATATATAACACATTGCCTTGTATGATGAAAATGACCAAACATACAACGGATCACATAGAATAGGCACATGCGCTCACTGTACGTGACACATGATGCCAGCGTCTGCCAAACTGAGGCTGTTCACGGGCGCCACCAGGCACTGTCTGCTGGCAAGCCTTGGCCTCTCAAGGGAGGTCCGGGGCTGGCCACTTCTTCTGGCAGCTAGGCCTGACTTCACAGCTGCGCAGCTCGACTATAAACAGCTGCAGAACGCAGATAGACAAGCCAAGGCCCGGCCCATGTCCAGCGGTGCGGGTGGTGCTTGTCTGTCCGCCTGGCAGGTGGATTTCTTTGAACTACTCTTGGCGAAGGCTGCCCTGTTCTCGGATGCCAGTGAAAGCGGACATCAACGAGGTCTTGTACATAAGGTCGGGCTAGGTGATTGAATTCCCAGATCCCAAAATGCCCATGTTCGCCCCTTGTCGAAGTGTCGTTCTTCTGGGATCCCGCACTTGTTTTTAGCGCCCGGTGCCACAGTCCACTTTCCGTCAAAGCGAGGCACATAATGTGCAACGATCTACGGCCTCACACCGCACCAACGCACCAACTTGCCGTGTCCAAGGTCCATGCCATCAAGGGTGCCGGATGGCAAGACAAGGCGCGCGAGGGCGTCGCGTCCTCGCGATCCCCAAAAGCCGAGGTGCCTCCTCTGAAAGTGAGCCCGGCTGACATCCTGGGCGGCAAGAACACATCGGTGCGGCCGCCTTCCGGATGTGCGTTTGTGTGCACGTGTGCGTGTGTGAACGTGCGTCTATGCACTTTGTGACCTCTGCAACAAGAATCTCTCTCTCTCTGCCCGAAGGAGAGCAATCGCCTGCTGCAGATCTTGTGCTACCTCGGGCTGAGGAGAAGCGTCTGAGAGCTCTGAGAATTAGAGCTGAGTTCGATCCAGGAAGAAGTTGCAGAACGTGGGTGGCCTGACGGATGTGTCCGACCAGTGGGCCAGCTCCCATAGCTTCAGTCGCGAGTGCACGGCATCGCGCGATGTGCATCGAACGCGATGCATCGAACGCGGCTCAGGTGAAGAAGTTCACGGCGCTGTGGAGCGACAATGGCAAGGAGTGGACGCCCTTCACGGCGCCTGGGGTGCGCCCGAGAGATGAGTCGGAGAGACAAAGAGAAAAAGAGTCGGATTGAAAGGGACTGAAAGGGAAGTTGAGGACGACATGGGGATATGTGAGGTGAAGGAGCCCTCCGTCTTCGAGGGCTGCTGTGACGCGGACACGGTCCGTCTTTGCCTCGGAATGGAGTGGCCTCGGCTCGGCTCGGGACTTGTGCGACTCTTCCGAGGCCTGGTCCATCTGGGGCTGGCGCAGGCCCCGAAAGCGGTGCGATACCTGCGCCTGCAGCCGCAGGAGTGGCCCGAATCTCAGCACCGACCTGACGATTTCTCCGAAGAATGTGTCAAATTTACTCAAAGCTCGAGAGAACAAAAAAAAACTATTGGAAAATCAAAACTGGGCTGGACACAGTGAGAGAGCTTGCAAGGCAGTCCCATCCCGGGCTCCAACTAGAGGCACGTCTTTTGTGGTTTTGTTCTCCCTTCGAAGCCCGCAACTTGTTCAACTTGCTAGGTATATGGCTGGGCCGATGGCAAGCTCAAGGTGGAGACCCCGATTCCGTGGGGGTCTTCAGCAAAAGCATGCGACGGCGCTGGCAGACTCGTTCAACCGGCAGAAGTCGTTACTTGTGTCCGGACTTGTGAATCGATCTCTCTCTCTCTCTCTCTCTCCTCTCTATACCTATTTTATAATATATGCTTTTCTTGCCTGTAGAGATGTTGCCTCGTTTCATTTCGCGCGATGGAATTTGAGGCCATCCTTGCGGGACAGGGCTTGCCGCCTGGATGTCATCCGGCGGCGCGGCGAGCTGTTCGAGCCCCAAGTGACACGAGAGTCTACGGCTTTTGTGTTTTATCACAATGGGCCATGTTCAGCTTCCCGCTTCCTTCCTTCTCTTTCCTTCTCTTTCCTTCTCTTTCTTTCTTTCTTTCTTTCTTTCTTTCTTTCTTTTCTCTTTCCTTCTCTTTCCTTCTCTTTTTGTCCTTTGTTTTCTTCTTTGCTTCTCTGCTTCATCTTGCAAGGCTGCAACAAGGCCTGGCGCTGGCCAGCGCGGCGGCGTTGGAGTCGCTGCCTCATTGTTGCGGCGTGTTGGCTCGTGCCGGTTTCATTTGAGGAGATGGAAGGAGGCGCAGCAAGCAGAGCAGGAGAAGACGAAGCAGGCCATGGCAGAAAGGAGCCAGGCGGGTCAGCGCATCCTTTCTCTCCGTGACTTTTCTTTTGCTTTCTCTTTTTTTGGCTCTCTTTCGGTCTCTGTTTTTCTTTCCTTACTTCTTTTCTCTGTCTCTCTTTCTTTCTCCCGGATGTTTTCTCGGCGCAGGTGGAGCAGCAGCTCCAGGACGCCGTGGCGAAGCTGGAGGAGATGCGGAAGGCCTACGACCTGCTCCAGGACCAGGCGCGACGGATTTCCGGTCTGTCCGGTCTCTCCGGAGAATTAGCTTGGAGACAGAAGCATGAAGTGAAGAGGATGTTTTCGTGCAAGGCTGCGCAGAGCGAGCAGAAGCTGCTCGACGCCGAGACGGAGAGGCTGCGATTAGGAGTGGCTGGCAGCTCAGCGTCCCCGGCTATTCTCAAGATCGAAGGACGCTGGTAAGCTCACTCAGTGGATGAAGTGGATGGGACAATTGAAGAGATTCTGACTCAGGAGCAAGACAGCTCCACGGCGCAGGTGAAGGTATTGGAGGATGGGACACGACATATGGCATGTGAGATACATGTGGATCGCCTTGCCCAGGAGAAGTTGGCGCAAGCAATGGAGGAGACGGGGGCAGAGAAAGAGAAGGCCGGCTCCCAGCTCGGCCCAAAATAATAAAACAACAACACGGCATTTAGGTAAAAGAGGTGGAGGGCAAAGTGGAGGAGATGAAGACGATCAACGAGGTCCGGTGCCATGTCACCATCTTTTTTTAAAGAAGCCGACCGGACCCGAGGACCTGCAGCAGCAGATCGGCGTGCTCACCGAAGAGCGCGACATCGCCCTGACCTTGCGTTGAGACGTCTACATCCCCTGTCAGACCGTCTAGATGTCCGTCTAGATCCCTTTTTGGATTTCTGGATTTTTTTTGTGGGGTTGTGGGTATGGGTTCTGAGTGACTTAGGCCCGTGCGCGGGAGGAGGAGCTCTTCGACACGCTGGCCGTGAAGGTGCGGCCTGCAGTAAAACAGCAAATGCGCTTTCAGCAAATGTGGCAAATGCATATGTCACCTCCTCGGAACACAAGCAACACGAGGAAGAGGAGCTGATGAACACCAATGAAGGCTTTGGACAATGGGGCAATGGGGCAATGGGGCAATGGGGCAATGGGGCAATGGGGCAATGGGGCAATGGGGCAATGGGGCAATGGGCCAATGGGGCAATGGGGCAACGGGCAGCGGGACTGTCAGGGTACGTGTACCTCACCGATCAGCTGAACGAGGTCAAGGATGAGTATGCGGAGAAGGCGCACGCACCTCGAGGATGTGCCTGGTCGCCTTGCTGCGATCCGCAAGGTGGATGAATGCGACCGCCTGATCGAGAATCTCAATGAGCAGAACAAGAAGCTCCTGGACGAAGGCGGGGAGTTGCAATGCGAATGGAAGAAGCTCCGCTCGTTCCACAGGCCTCAAGCTCAGGCCGGCCTGTTTCAGCGAGATGGGCTGATTGGGATGATTGGGCTGGGGTGTTTCAGGCAAGATTTGGGGGACACCAAGCGCAAGCTGGCAGAGGCAGAGAAGGCCGCGAAAATACCGGAGAGCGGCGCGGCGCGCGTGGATTTTAGTTGAGGCCGTTCAGCGAGCTGAGCAGGGACTGCGGAAGCCCCGGCGTGCCTGATCGTTGGGGAACGTGTAAACCGTCTAACGTATTGCACATCCGTCCGTCAACATCAGACGTGCGTTTGTTTCATGTAACGGTTCATCTTGGCTCTGTGCCAGTTTGCGGCTTGTGGATGCTGGATAGGCACTTTTGGCTTCATTTGGTGCATTTGAAATAAAGCACAAGCAGCTACGCGCCTTCGGTCAGAACCCAGCAAACACATGGATGTTTGCGCCTTACATGATGTTGGGACAATGTATGTTCGGAGACAAGTCTAAGTGTCTTCTATTTGCAATGTTAGCTGGCATCGAGGTCAGTTTTGCGCCGTATTTTGTGCTTTGCCCCGCTTGTATTTCCGTATCCAGTTGGCCCGTGTCCTGGTCGAATCCTTGCAACCGCCACTCATAGTTTTTTGGACAGCCAATGCGCCGGTGGAGTTTCCTCGATGAACGCGGGACTGCAACAGATTGTTCGCGGAGCAAGAGCAATCGGCACGGTCCAAGGCCAGTTTCGTTCAAGGTTGCCAAAGATGCGGTTGGCGGCTCAATGCGAGAGCGAATCCCTGCGAAACCCTGACACACCCTGCCAGTGCGCCCTTGTCTTGAGGCTTCAAAGGAGAACAGGCGAGTTTGCGGCTGAGGGTTCGGCCAGAGCTGCGCATGGTAGGCCAGAGCGAGCTGTCACCGCCAGCCCAACAGACGTCGGTATCGAGGCGATTTGTTTGCTGAAATTGAAAGCATGGCTTTTGAATGATACGGATGCCACAGGAGTCACCCAGCAAGGCCGGGATTCTGGCAACCTGGTGCCGGTGTCTTTCGCGTGCTTCCCATGGTGTAACCTCTCGTTCCAGGTCCGGGAATATCAGGATGATTTCGAGGATGAATGATAGAGGGACGGAGCTGGTTAGAGCTCAAGGCTCTAAGTGGCCAAAGATGCGTCCCTCGCTTCCTTGCAGCTGCAAAGCACCAAGGAAGCTCTTTTTCTAGCTAGGATGCCGCGTGACCCAGCCACGCGGGCTTTGCATGTACCTTGCATGTGTCTCACATCTTGCTGCGACCCTGATGGGGCGTAATTCACCCTGCATAAGCTCCATGGGCTTGCGGCCTATGCGCTCCACGTGCTCTCGAGGCCTTGCAATGCAGGGACTCCAAGACTCCAACCAGTTGCAAACCGTGCGAAGACTTGACGTCTGGACATCTTGAAGCTAGATATGTTGGATGGAATGCTGTTCTTAAGGCATGCTGAGTGAGAGGGCGAGTCATGACAGTGGCGAGCGATTGCTTTTGCCACGTGTTTGGGCCGACTGTTCCGAATCGAGTGTCCACATCTAGCGATGGCGCAGCCTGATGCGCCCACTCCCTCGGCGCCCTCTGTGTTGAGCAAAGTCCGGTGCCAGCCTCAGCGCATGTGCCGCATGTGCCGCGTGTGCCGCGTGTGCCGCGTGTGCCGCGTGTGCCTCCATGAGAACGGACTATTTTGTAATGCAATGCGTCAGGGAGAAGCTGCCGGACAAGCCTTTGCTGGTGACTGGCGCCGTGGGTGGGCCATTGGCGCCTCGCCGAGTCGCATCGAAATGTCAGGTCCCACAGCCGCTCTCAGGTCATTTGGCTATGCACTCCGCTGCGCAATGGGCTGACCCTGGGGTCTAAGGCGCAAAACAGCAAAGCATGCCCGGCATTCAAGACATTCCCTGAATTCTCACAATTAGGACAAGACTTCCAACTTCGCGGGGCTCTACCGGAAGGCTCCGGAGGGAAATTGGAGATGGAGCTTTCGACCTGGAACAAGCATGGAAATGTAGATTTGGAGCTCTGCATGTTTGGACTCTTTCAAGCTGGCATGTTTCTTGGCCTTCAGCTTGGAACCGCTCTTGCTGTCAGTGTCGCATAGCCGCCCGTTGCAAAGCCATCCTGAAATTTGGGTGTAAGCGTTCCGAGCCAACACACATGGACGTTTTGTGAAGCAAGCTCAGATTTGAGTTCAATTCCGCGCGCTGGGACATGAAGGGCGAACGCCGCATACTTGGCGACGTGTCTGTTTCCTGCGGGTCGGGTCGGGTTTCCAGGAAATTTACACGCTGACGCGACACAGCCGGCCACCGGGCACCTTGCCCTTCGCGTTCTTGTAGTTCCTTTTCCTTGAATTTCCGTTAGCTTCCGGGATGTGAACTTTGCTTCCTTTGCATGTCTTCCCTTCCTGGCATTTCTTTTCACCTCCTTTCGCTTCATTTCCGCTTCAGCTCCCTTCATTTCCTTGAACGCCCTTCATTCGCATTCCTTTCCCTTAGTTCTTCAATGTCTCTTCGTTTCCCATAATTCCAATCAGTTTCTTTTCGTTACCGTTCTCCGGTTCCCTTCGCGTTCTGCACTTGCATTTTGCGCACTTCCAGTCACTCCTTTTCTGCAATTTCCAGTTTTGCATCGCCAGCATGCATAGCATGATTAGGATAATCCGGGATGATGCTCGTAATGCTGGGGGTGTTGTCCAGTATTAGGGCCCCCCCAAAAAGTGCTCGTTTTGTGACTCTGCGGGGAGATGCTACAAAAATCCTCGAAAATCGCCTAAACCGATCTGCGAATCCTTCGCCCCTTAGCAGGCTTGGCGCAGCGCAAAAGTTCTGCTCATGTTCTGCTCATGGTCCGCTCATGGTCGGCGGCATGGGGCGCACGGCCTTATACCTGAAGGTAAGCCCTGCGGGCTTTGGCGTGCGGCCCGATCACGTCCGGTGGCCGGATTTACACGCTGACGCGACACAGCCGGCCACCGGGCACCTTGACCTGTCCGTTCTGTCACTTCCCTTTCTGTTAATTCCGATCAGTTCCCGAGATTTGAACCTCACTTCCTTTGCGCGTCTTTCCTGCATCTTCGACAGTTTCGCCGTGTCAGTCGCAGTCCTCCCCTCCGTTCTTTTCAGCTTCCGTGACTTCAGTCCGCCTCCCATTCCACGTCAGTTTCCTGCACATCCCTTCATTTCGCAGTTTCTCTCCGTTTTCCATAATTTCCACAATTTCTTTTCGTTTAGTCCAGTCACGCCTGCTTCCCTCCACTTCCCCTTCGCGCTCTGCAATTGTCAGCCTTGTTTCGCATCGCCAGCATGCATAACATCATCCGCATCATCCGGGATGATGCTGGCAATGCTGGGGGCGTTGTCCAGTAGTAGGCACCCCCTAAAAGACTTGTTTTTGCACTTGTTTTTGGGCGCTGCGAGGAGATGCTACAAAAATCGCTTAAACGAATCCGCAAATCCTTCGCCCCTTATAAGGGAGGGCCCATCATAAAACGTATGCGCATGGTCGGAGCATGTTCTGCGCATGGTCGGCGGCATGGGGCGCACGGCCTTATACCTGAAGGTAAGCCCTGCGGGCTTGGCCTGCGGCCCGATACACGTCCGGTGGCCGGATTTCCCCACATGTCCCTCACCGGCACGGACAGCGCCCCCTGCATGCTCCAGCAACTTTCCATCCAGCTTTCCAGTCACCTTTCCCTTCATTTCCCCACACGTCCCTGAACGGCGTGGACAGCACCCCCTGCATCGACTGCATCATCCGAAGCAATGCGCCATGGATGCTCAATTGTTGCACCCTATTGCAATCCTTTTTCCATTCATTCCATCAATGCATTTTCCAAGAACTTTGCATCAATTGTGCACACATTTTCCATCCATCCCCTTTCCCTCCATTTCCCGCATTTTTTCATCAACGCCCCTTCATTTCCATCAATTTTGCATCTTTTTTGTCCATCCTTTTTCCAGCCCATTCCATCCAGCCATTTCCCATGAATTGTTTATACGCATTCCTTTCCCTTTTCGTTTCCAAGGTCCGGCTCCCTTCACGTTCTGCCCGTGCGTTTTCCATGCATCTCGGTTTCTCTCCAGTGCCCTCTTCATTTTCGTGCAATTCCTTTGACATCCATTTTCCAGACATTTCCGATCCATTTCCATTCACTTGTCCCTTCATTTCCCCACACGTCCCTGACCGGCGTGGACAGCACCCCCTGCATCGACTGCATCATCCGAAGCAATGTCCGCCATGGATGCTCAATTGTTGCACCCTGTTGCAATCCTTTTTCCATTCATTCCATCAATGCATTTTTCAGGAACTTTCCATCAATTGTCCACACATTTTCCATCCATCCCCTTTCCCTCCATTTCCCGCATTTTTTTCATCAACCCCTTCATTTCCATCAATTTTGCATCCTTTTTGTCCATCCTTTTTCCAGCCCATTCCATCCAGCCATTTCCCATGAATTGTTTATTCGCATTCCTTTCCCTTTTCGTTCCCGCTGTCCGGTTCCCTTCACGTTCTGCCCGCGCATTTTCCTGCATCTCGGTCATTTTCGTGCAATTCCTTTGACTTTCATTTCGTTCACTTTCAGTCACTCCTGTTTCCTTGTATTTCCCCTTCAGCCCCTTGTTTCGCATCGCCAGCATGCATAGCATCATCCGCATCATCCGGGATGATGCTGGCAATGCTGGGGGTGTAGTCCAGTATTAGGCACCTCATAAAAATACTCGTTTTTGGACTTGTTTTTGGGCGCTGCGAGGAGGCGCTACAAAAATCGCTTAAACGAATCCGCAAATCCTTCGCCCCTTATAAGGGAGGGCCCAGCGCAAAACGTATGCGCATGTTCCGCGCATGTTCTGCGCATGGTCGGGGGCATGGGGCGCACGGCCTTATACCTGAAGGTAAGCCCTACCGGGCTTTGGCCTGCAGCCCGATCACGTCCGGTGGCCGGATTTACACGCTGACGCGACACAGCCGGCCACCGGGCCTTTTCCTTCAATTCCCGTTCTTTTATTTCCTTTTCCTTGAATTCCCGTTAGTTTCCGGGATTTGAACTCTGCTTTCTTTGCATGTCTTCCCTCCAATTCTGGCATTTCCCTTCACTTCCTCTTCCTTGAGCGCCCCTTCATTCGCATTCCTTTCCCTTAGTTTATTGTAGTTCTCGCGACTTCAACCTCGCTTCCCATGTCACGTCACTTTCCCGCACATCTCTTCAATTCTCTTCGTTTCCCATAATTTCAAAGTTTCTTTTCGTTACCGTTCTCCGTTCCCTTCGCGTTCTGCCCTTGCATTTTGCTCACTTCCAGTCACTCCTTTTTCTGCAATTTTCAGCCCCTTGGTTTACATCGCCAGCATGCATAGCATCATCCGCATCATCCGAAATGATGCTGGAAATGCTGGGGGTGTTGTCCAGTATTAGGCACCCCCCCCTCGTTTTTGGACGCTGCGAGGAGATGCTACAAAAATCGCTTAAACGAATCCGCAAATCCTTCGCCTCTTATAAGGAAAGGCCCAGCACAAAACGTATGCGCATGTTCTGCGCATGGTCGGCGGCGTGGGGCGCGCGGCCTTATACCTGAAGGTAAGCCCTACCGGGCTTTGGCCTGCGGCCCGATCACGTCCGGTGGCCGGATTTAAGGGCTGCCGCCCAGTGCCGCCAACCCCAAACCAGTTTGGGAATGGCTGAAATGAACGAGGCCGCTTCAAAATGGGACCGCGATGGGTCCGGTCCCCTATTGTAGCCAGGGTGCGGTGCATTTTTGCGGTGCTTTCGCGTGAAAATGAACCACTTTTATGATGATGATGATGAAGATGATGATGATGATGATGATGATGATGATGATGATGATGAGCTGACATGAGAATCATCATGACGCATCCTCAGCATCACCAGCAGTCATCCTGATAATGATGTCCACGCATCTTCTGCATCTCAAATCAGCTCTAATGGGACTGATGATGATGATCATCGTTAGCGCCGTGATGATGATGATGATGAATGCGCTTTGATTGGCACGCTTCCATAGAACCTGCGCCCATTCTGGAGCGATCGTTTTCTTGGTGCATTTTTGTAAGAATCTGGTAAGAAAATGCGCCGCTGTAAGTGCCTACAATTCTGCTGCTGCTGGGAGCATGTGCCGTGACGTTGCCTTTGCAGTAGAGGCTTATCGCCGGTCACCCCGCAAGCCAACCAGTTTTCTCGCCGCAAGTCGGGGCCGCGATGGGTCCCCTATTGTAGCCAGGGTGCGGTGCATTTTTGCTTTGCTTCGCGTGAAAATGCACCGCTTTTATGATGATGATGATGATGATGATGATGATGATGATAATCATCATGACGCATCCTCAGCATCACCGTCATCATGATAATAATGTCCACGCATCTTCTGCATCTCAAATCGGCCCGAATGGGACTGATGATGATGATCATCATTAGCACCGTGATGATGATGATGATGATGATGATGAACTGGCATGATAATCATCATGACACATCCTCAGCATCACCAGCAGTCATCGTGATAATGCGCTTTGATTGGCACGCTTCCATGGAACCTGCGCCCATTCTGGAGCGATCGTTTTCTTTCCTTGGCTTGGTGCATTTTTGTAAGAATCTGGTAAGAAAATGCGCCGCTGTAAGTGCCTACAATTCTGCTGCTGCTGGGAGCATGTGCCGTGACGTTGCGTTTGCAGTAGAGGCTCATCGCCGGTCACCCCGCAAGCCAACCAGTTTTCTCGCCGCAAGTCGGGGCCGCGATGGGTCCCCTATTGTAGCCAGAGCGCGGTGCATTTTTGCTTTGCTTTCGCGTGAAAATGCACCGCTTTTATGATGATGATGATGATGATGATGCTGAACTGACATGATAATCATCATGACGCTTCCTCAGCATCAACAGCAGGCATCATGATAATCATGTCCACGCATTTTCTGCATCTCAAATCGGCTCCAACGGGACTGATGATGATGATCATGATGATGATAATGAACTGACATGATACTCATCATGACGCATCCTCAGCAACACCAGCAGTCATCATGATAATCATGTCCACGCTTCTGCATCTCAAATCGGCTCTGATGATGATCATGATGAGCGCCGTGATGATGATGATGATGATGAACTGAGATGCTGGTCAGTATCGTCATCATCATCATCATTGTCATCATCATCATCGTCATCATCGTCATCATCATCGTCATCATCATCGTCATCATCATGGATGAGAAACAATCATCGTGCATCCTCTGCAACACCTCATTATCGTCATCGTCATCATCATCATCATCATCGTCATCATCGTCATCATCTTCGTCATCATCATCGTCATCATCATGGATGGTAACCATCATCGTGCATCCTCTGCATCACCAGCAGTCATGATGATAACCATGTCTACGCATCCTCTGATGGTGGTCATTATCGTCATCATCATCATCATCATCGACACCATCGTCATCATCGTCATCGTCATCATCATCATCATCACCGTTGTCATCATGGACGATAACCATCATCGTGCATCCTCTGCATCACCAACAGTCATGATGATAATCATGACTACGCACCGCTCTAACGTCACGCTTGAAACGTGTATAAAAAGATAAGGGCTTCAACGATTTGATGTGATAATGACAAGCGTGTCATCATCATCATCGTCATCATCATCAGCATCATCCTTGTCATCATCACCGTTATCATCATCGATGATAACCATCATCGTGCATCCTCTGCATCACCAACAGTCATGATAATCATGTCTACGCATCCGGAGGTCCTCTGCATCTCCAATCAGGTCACAACGATGATGACGTGATGATGATGAGCATGTCATCATCACCATGATGGTGGTCATTATCGTCATCATCATGATCATCGTCATCATCATCGTCATCATCATGGATGACAACCATCATCGTGCATCCTCTGCATCACCAGCAGTCATGATGATAACCATGTCTACGCATCCTCTACATCTCCAATCAGGTCACATCGATGATGATGTGATGACGATGAGCGTGTCATCATCACGATGCATGATGGTGGTCATCATCGTCATCATCATCATCGTCATCATCAGCAGCATCATCATCATCGTCAGCGTCATCATCACCGTCATCATCATGGATGATAACCATCATCGTGCATCCTCTGCATCACCAGCAGTCATGGTGATAACCATGTCTACGCATCCTCTACATCTCCAATCAGGTCACAACGATGATGATGTGATGATGATGAGCGTGTCATCCTCACCATGATGGTGGTCATCATCGTCATTATCATCGTCATCATCAGCAGCATCATCATCATCATCGTCATCGTCATCATCACCGTTGTCATCATGGACGATATCCATCATCGTGCATTGTCTGCATCACCAACAGTCATGATGATAATCAAGACCACGCACCCTCTGCATCTCCAATCGGCTCTAACGCTCCCCTTGAAACGTATGTAAAAAAGATAAGGACGACAACATCATGTCTACGCATCCTCTACATCTCCAATCAGGTCACAACGATGATGATGTGAAGATGATGAGCATGTCATCATCACCATGATGGTGGTCATTATCGTCATCATCATGATCATCATCATCATCATCGTCATCATCATCATCGTCATCATCGCTATCATCACCGTTGTCATCATGGACGATAACCATCATCGTGCATCCTCTGCATCACCAACAATCATGATGATAATCATCACTACGCACCCTCTGCATCTCCAATCGGCTCTAAGGCTACCCTTGAAACGTGTATAAAAAAGATAAGGACGACAACGATGATGTTTGATATAATGACAAGCGTGTCATCATCAGCATCATCAGCATCATCCTCGTCATCGTCATCGTCATCATTACTGTTATCATCATCGATGATCACCATCATCGTGCGTCCTCTGCATCACCAACAATCATGATGATAATCATGTCTACGCATCCTCTGCATCTCCAATCAGGTCACAACGATGATGATGTGATGACGATGAGCATGCCACCATCACCATGATGGTGGTCACCATTGACATCATCATCATCATCAGCATCATCCTCGACGCCAGCCAGCAGCGGCGGTAGTGGCAGCAAAGAGCGTAATGGCTAGCCCAGAACAGACTGCGAATGCAAGTCCCTCCTCACGGGCATGATGTCTGGCTCCAGCAGGACACTTGAAACGCACACGAAAAAGACACGGATGACGACAATAATGATCATGATAACGAAAAAGCACGTCTTTGAGGTGCAAAGGATGCTACGATGACGGTATTGCTTACGCTGATGATGTTGAATCTTCGGCTATGTTCATTTACCAACCAACCTTGGACTTGTGCTGCAACCACCCTTCCCGTGCGCCTCCCCCTTTGAGGAGAAGGGGTCGGCGGATTCACTCTCCGAATGAACACCCCCACTTCTGCCAGAATAGCTTGGGTTGTTGCAAGTTGGAGGTGCAATCTAATCCTAAGACAGCCGGGGTCGGCAGAGAACAATTTTTGATTTACAAAGCATGTGAGCTGTGACAGAGATGGCCCTGGCAGCGTTTGCAATCTCTGCGTCGGAGAGTTGTCAGGTCTTATTCGACACGGGCCCCCTGCTTGTCAAGCAGTACTCGCAGCAGCGGGAAAAGACATACAAAGAAAAACACTAAATGGCCGACAGCAACTCCAGAATATGACTGGAGCGCACCCGTTCTTGCGCACAAAGCACCTATGCCATCATCCGGCGTCCAGCACATTTCATACGCCAGCATCAACAGCAACACTGCTAGTCAAACTGGCTCAAGGCTACAGCTTGCTGTCCCAAATACAGGACATGCAAATGGATTGGTGACCGGCACTTGGCTCTGCCAGGTCTTCCGTGGCGGCCCGCATGCCGGTTGGACAGGCGAGCCTGGCGACTGAGCTGAAGGATGCGCGAGCCGACAGGTGGCCTGGCGCCAGCCGCGCGGGCCTTGGCCGTTCCGGGCGTCCCGAAGCGGCCCGAAGCGGCCCGAAGCGGCCCGAAACGCCCTTGAGCATTTGAGCATTTGAGCGTTTGATTTGAGCAGGCCTTAGGCCGTACGCGGCCGGCCTTGGCCAAGGTTGTGGCCTGCCCGCAGTTCCTGCTGCTGGGGCCGGCACGCGGAGAGGGGCACTGGGACTGGGAGCATAGCGAAGCAAGCCGTCGCGCAGCTGTACCACCTCTTCAACACCGTCCTGTCGGAGTTCTCTGGCTGTGGCCAACTGAGTCCAACCTCCGCCTGCGCCCCAATTCTGATGCACGAAAGTACAGGTCACCAGTTGTGAGCGTGTCCTTTTCTCAGGGTCCACGCCTTGGCTGCTCAGCCGTAGCTGCGCTGGGGTCGGCCTTGGGCGAGACGGTGCGCCATTTCAATCGCGTCAGAGGAGCTTTAATTTTTATCGAGGCTCCATTTCAATGCATGCGCCTCATGCGCCTCATGCGCCTCATGCGCCTCCTGCGCGTGACGGGCTCAAGGTTTGTGGCCGTAGGGTGTGCTCATGGACGCCCATGCTTCCAGGTCCGCCAGTGGCATACAGCGCACACATAGCCACAATCAACCCGATGATTGGTAAGAGATAGTCCCAATCTCATAGGTTTGGATTCTGACTTGGCAGGCAAGGGCGTCTCCTTCGATGGCCGAGGCCGTTCCCCCCTTTCCGTTGCTTGAATTGTGAATCGGCAGCTTGGAGGTGCTGAAGAGGGCGAAAGGGATGAGAAAGATGCTGGAGCTCAGCGCATGGCATGCTGCATTCGCATGTCGCCTCGGCCTAGCGGCTTGAGGCTGCCAAGCTCCTGCCTGAGGATGCGTGGGACGGGCGTGCTTGTGTGCCGCGTGTGCGCGGACGTGGGCCGTGGGGCGTGCGGCGTGCGGATGGACGAGGCCCGTGCAGAGCCGCGCCGCGGCGCGGGACAACTTCTTGTCCGCTGCCGTGCTGGGCAACATGGCCAAGCGCTTGGCATCGCTCCGACGTCTCCATTCGGAAATGCGGGTGCGACGTGCGAGGTCAGCTTGGGATCTGATGCCAACGCAGGGATGATGGCCGCAGCTTGGAATGAACTTGCAAGTCTGGTTCAATTTGAAGCTGAGTCTTTCCGTCTTTCCCAATGCCAATGAGCAGGTGCGACATGCCCGGATCATCCAGCAACTCATCCTGGGCTCGGGCAACGAAGCCAGCAAGGCTTATGAGCTCCTTGCCTGAATCCTTTGTTATGTTCCGTACGTCAATCTTTGTATGCCAATACATTGGACAATGTCTCAAAGAGCTGTTTCGCCATTTGCTCTCCGCGGGTCTTGCTGTTTTGGTTGCTATTGTTTGTGCTTGTGCCATTGCTAGAAGCCAAATAATGCTTGGATCACCCGTCACTCACCCCGAATGACGTGCATGCGACTGTCTTTGCCTGTCATTTCTGCTGGCCAAAGCAAAGGCCAAAGCAACCCGGTGCTCCTTATTTTTAGCAAGTGGCACAAGTCGTTACAGCATCCCTTCGATGGAATACCAGCCTTAGGGTCTTGGGCTTTAGGGCACGGTAAGGAAATGGCAGCGGCGCGGCAAGGCATCCATGGTCAAGAACAGCGACGACTTGCAGCGCCTCGGCACAGATGGCAGAGCGCCGAGCGGCGCCGGGCGGCGCCGAGCGCCGGCCCGAGCCATGTCGACGCCGTTCGCGAGGAACGACGTGAGGAAGGCCGGGAACAAGATGCGCCAGCGGCGCCGGACCAACTTGCTGTCGCGCCTGAACTTGAACCCGGAGGCCCGGAGGCCGCTTCGCTGTGCCGTGCCGCCTTGCCGCTTTGCCGCTTTGCCGCTCGAATCATTTTGCTTCGCAAGACGCCCAAAGAGCCCGAAGCCAGCCGCGGCCCAAGAATCGAGACACAGAGATGGATCATGTTCATCAGCGGAGTAGCTAAGAGGCCCGCTTCTAATGTCTGCCGTACAACGCTAAACCGTAAAACGGCAAAACCGTTTGGAGGGGAATAATTTACCCGGTTGCTGACTCAGCTTATTCAGCCCAAGTTCGCAGCCTCTTGTCTGCTGGAACTAGCCCCACTTTGCATGCCTGTAGCTCACAAGGGGTTGGTGGGATGAAGGCCCGTGTAAGTTGTGGTGATGAAGGTCCTTCGCTTGCTTCCTTGTGAATGAAGCGCACTTTCTACACGCTGCCAAGCTGCTACCTGAGCTAGGGGATTGAACTTTTCCATTGGTCATGGGTTGCCAGCATGTGAACAGAAGGCGCAAGGTTTCTTGGGTTGACCATCAGAGATCTGCTTATCAGAAATTGTGTTAGTGAATTATGGAAGGCGCAAGTAAGCAGATATCCTTCACCCAGCCATATCGGCCATTGCGTGCCGCCAGATAGGAGCTAGAGGGCCTGTCCCTGAGCATGTGGGAATTAATGCTACCCGCAGACCTCCACACCATCCCACACTCATACAACAAGAATTCAACCATGAAGACACATAAGGATAGACTTCAAACAACAACATAATTTCCTAGCATTTATTCCTCGTCTTTCACAGGCTATAACTTTCGAATCTTGACACCCGGATACAAGAATGAAACTGACATTGCTTGTTTGACCACAACATCCGAATTTATATTCCCAGAGAGCCACGCAAAAGTGAATCAGCATAGCTTGTCAACGAATGAGGAAAGGACAGAGAGAAGACACTATTCTAACATGAGCACGGTAAGAAATGCAACGACACTCATAAATCTATTTGTTTTCCTACTTAGCTTCAAGAACTTGGTGTCTCGGAAACTCAAAGAGGAACACCATTAATAAGATGGGATAATGAAATAAGCAACGATGGGGGCATAGATATGTTAAAGAAGTCATCAGTGGAACCTACATCTGAACATCTGTATTTGGATCTCGCAATCGGATCAGGGCTTCGTTGCATTTTTCCGTTTTGCCTGCGAACACGGTAGGGAGGACTCACTAACGCCGACCCCACAACCTAACCAGCGCAAACTTCCCGGCACTCCGTATGACTGTGTTTGGTTCATGTGCAATTCGCGACCTGCCTGAATCACTGAAGCCTGCCTGTCTCTCACCGCAAACCGCACTCCGTGGAAAGCTGCACGCATACGTCGACCTTGATCAGGCGACCGCGAGCGGGAGCCAGGCGGAGAGCCCGAGACCCCAGAGAGCGGCTGCCTCGGAGAGACGTAGCTGGGAGGAGGTAGTCAGTGGACTTTTCAGGCGAGGAGTCGAGTTCGAGTTCTAACACTAGCACAACTTCTAGCAGCGATGAGGATGAGGCTTCTTTCGGAGCATTTTTCGAGGTTTGTTTCGTTTGAGCTGGGCGTGGCTCATGTAGGTACCAGGCCTGGCGCCGGGGCTGGGCTTCATGCGAATGCCGCGTCCTCTGAGCTGCTCACCTGTTGCGTTTGAGCTTTGCATCGAACAGGACCGGGCGCCGGCAATCCTTGTCCGGCAATGACGCCGCCCCGAGTGGGGCCTTGTCCGGCTTGGCTGCAGTGTCTGTCATCGCGCAGAGGACGGGGGCTCTTTGAAAGAACCTTTGAACCTTGGACTTTTTTGATCAGGAGAAACGGGCTGCGGCAGCCATCCCTGGCAGGGCTGCACCCCAGCGAGGTGGGGCCGATCCGATCGGGACAGTCGAGCCATCGAGCCATCGAGCCATCGAGCCATCGAGCCATCGAGCCATCGAGCCTGCGAGCGCCCAGATGATGGCGCGGAAGCGGCAGTCTCAACAGGGTCATTGGGGCCAGGCGCTCGTCAAACTCGTCAAATAGATCATTGTAAGCAGAATTGCTTACATCTTGCATATGTCATGTGACCCGAGATCCTAGGTCAGCTGGCTGGGCTTGCACACCTGTTGGCTCCTGGCGGGGACCGTTCAAGCGTAGGACCGAAACTTGGGCAAGGCTTTCAAGCGTACATTGCAAAGACCCGTTGCTTCCACTGTGCCTGACTTTTGCTAGGCCGGGCCAGTATCTCTGATCCCAATGGGACAGGACGGGCGCGTGGGGTCCGGTCCGTCAGTCCGGACCGGTCTCAGGCACTGCCTCGCCACGACGTTCAGGGGAAGGCGGGCGCCGATGTGCCGACTTGAGTCGAAAAAAAAAAAAAAAAAAAAAAAAAAAACAACAACTGTTGTATGTGTCAATGTCAGGCATGATCCCAGGTCTTTTGGACCTATCAAATTAGCTGCACCGCCGCTTGTACTTTGAATGGCAGGAGTGTGTTGCAGGAGCGGCCGCGCAAGTCAAACATGGGGCCGCGCAAGTAAAGCGCAAGTGAAGCGCAAGTGACGCAGTGATGATTCATCATCATCATCATCATCATCATCATCATCATCATCATCATCATCATCATCATCATCATCATCATCCTGTTCATCATCATCATCATCATCATCGTCGTCCTCATCTTTTTGATCAAAGGAAGTTTAGTAAGAAAACTTCCGTAATACGAAAAGTTGAGTCACAAGATCCGGACGCACTCAGAAGTGAAGTCAGCACGGAAAATCGCAAAGGGTACCTCTGTTCTGCGTGCGGGTTCGCCACGGTCTCGCCACAGTCTCGCCACAGGGGCGGGATGTTGCCCACTGTAATGCTCGCGCAGACGTTCTCAGAGGTCAATTTTGCGTGGCAGGCGCAGCACTTTGGCAACCTAAGGTGCAGATTTCGCGGCAGGCGCAGCGTTTTGTGCCCGTGCAAGGTCGAGTGCAGATTTCGTGGCAGGCGCAGCATTTTCGCAAGGTCGAGTACAGATTTCGTGGCAGGAGCAGCAGCAGCCGCAGCAGCAGCAGCCAGCAGCAGCCGCAGCAGCCAGCAGCAGCAGCAGCAGCAGCAGCAGCAGCAGCCAGCAGCAGCAGCCAGCAACAATTTGCAGCGGTGTACACACCTGAGACCTCATACACTTAAGGGGCATGTTTTTGGGGACCTCACTCTTATGAAGACCGCCGCTTGGATTTGCAATGAAAACATCCTGGGATAAGAGTTTTGATACGGTTTTTTCCAGCTCACTTGAGAATGCTCATGCACGCCCGTGACTGCGCAGGCAAGAGTGACATAGAAGAGGAGGCAGGGAGCAGTTGAAACACTGGACAGCGAACACTGGAAGGCACATGCTGATCCTTCCTGATTTCAAACATGGACGTTTTGTGCTGTGCAGCTGAATTGCATGGCAGGATGAAAGTGAAGAAGATACTCCGGACGAAGGCGTGGCTTGTGAATCGAAGCTTGAGCGGTGACGGGATGGCGACATGTCGTGACATGTGACATTGGTCAATTCGGCGAGAGCTTGACGGACCTGTCAGATGCGGGCTTTGAGCTGAGCCCAGCACAGAAGAGGAGGTTGGAAGAGGCCCACCTTGAACTTGGCAGAGACTTCCGGGGCGGCACCCCGAACGGCACGCGCATGAGGTGTACGGCATCTCATATCGCAGGACGTTTTTTTTCCTTTCTCTTTTTTTCCATGGCTTCGAGCGCGATCTGTCGCGCGGCAGGAGCCCGGCGTGCTGGCATGAGCTGGCTCCCACCTTGAAGCGCTTCCACCTCGATGCCAACCCGGCATGAAGCGTGAGACTCTGCCACGCAGACGTACAACACAATGCAATTCTACACATATGAATCATATGAATAACATGAGTAATATGCATAATATATATATATATATATATATATATGCACACGCACACACACTTATCTCGAGAGGCTGCTCTTGCAGACACGCGATTGTACTGAAAGGGCATGAAAAAATCAATCTGCAGTGCAAATGTCACATCATCGAAACCGAACATGAAGCAAACAGTGGTAAACCGAGGAAACACATTAGGTCACGAAAGGATGGCAGGTACGCCGGAATGGCCAATTCCGGTATCCCGTCTTGCTGCCTAGCTTTGTTAGACCAGGTCAGCAGCAAGACGCCTGGTCCCCCTGCAATGTGGAATTTCCGTCCGTGCTCCAGGACGCTTCACACACACGGAGCCCCAACTGGGGCGACATCACTTGTGCAAGGCCCATTGAGTCTTGCAAGCATCAATTGTGCGAGAAAGTCTTGTGGCGATGACTGACCACACATACTTGGCTTTGGAATTGGTCTTAAGGGAACGGAGGAGTTCAATCTCTCCCTCAGTCCAAGGCTGCGAGGCTTCAGGTTCGGCCTCAGTAGAGGCATCAGTCCTGGTCGATGTGGTAGCTTCGCTTGGTCCACGAGCAGGTTTGGATGCCGTAGATCGTGAGGAGGCCAAATCACGTGTGCGGCGAGCTCGTTTTTCGTCGGGAGAAGACGGAGGAGGAGTGGGCGGAGCCCAATGATCAGGGAATTGTTCGTCATGATCAGTGGGAAGGTGTTCATCTGGAGCATCAGGAGGTGGCTCAAAGAGGTCCTCGAGGGGGGCCAGGAGGGGTGTTGGTGGTGAGTTGGTCAGGTCCTCAATGGCGGGGTTGAGCGTGGCCTCCGGTGCCAAATCAGGTTCGGCAGTCGGACTCTCAGTGAACTCGCGGATGGTGGCGATGCCTTGTTGGGCAATGCCAAGGATGAGTTCGAAGTCTTGGAGCAGCTGGCGTGCTGTGTTGGTATCCATGCTCGCAACGGATTTTGGTCAAACAGTCAAACAGCTGCGGCGCGAAAATCAGGTCAAATCTGTCAGGATGCAAAGGCAGAGAAGAAAACCAGTGTGGTTTCGCAAAGGACGGTTTTTCTTCTCTTTGTAAGGTGAAACCGTGTTGGAGGTACAACCTCTTCAACATTGCAAGATCCTGATCTCGCTGAAATTCAGGAAAGGAAACTCAGCTGCTAAGAAGCGGTCTTTGTCGATGGAGGTGAAAAAACCGGAAAGGTCCTGGTTTCGGTAGTCCAAATGGGTGTGACCGAGGCTTAGAAACTCGTGCAAGGACCGCATGAGTTCAAAGAGGTCGCCACCTGAAAACGCGTCAGGGCAAGCCGTGGCCACCATGCTGTGGAGGAGCTTGGTGAGAGCGTCGAGCATGGGTCGGAAGAAGGCGCCAATGAAACTGATGATGGGCCGGGCAGTGGTCCAGTTCTTCTTCCTCTTAGGGAGGATGCAGGCGTTGGCTGGCCTTCCGAATCCGGTCACGGCCCAAGGACAGCGGCCGCGGAATCTGGTGACAATGGTTTCCCGTAGTCGTTGGTGGATCTCAATGGCAGGGACCGGCAGAGGGGCGAAGATGGCAGGGTCCGCAAAAGTGGCTTCCAACATCTTGCCGTAGAGAACGGGACAATAGATCATGAGTCGGGAGTCCGCATGGTCTTCGCAATGGCGGACAAGGGGTTCCAGGGTATGCAGAGCCCGTTGGACGTGGGCGTGAAGAAAGTACTGTGATGTGTGTGAAAGGTGGAGGTCGAAATGGAATTCGACAATAGTAGTGAGGGTTGATGGGTCGAGCGCGGGTAGGTTGTTGGTCCTGGCCCAGTGTTGAAATGCCTGGGTCAGGCGACTCATCAAGACCCCTCGTGGAGGAAAGAAGGAGTTGCGCATCGATCCGGATAGCATGTGGGCAGTGTCGGAGTCGAACAGCTCACGGGTGTCTGCATCGGAGAAAAGAAGGTGTCCGTCATGCTTCGGGAGGGATGGGTGTCGTTGGGCGAGGTCGGTGCATGTGCAGGTCGTTTCACCGAGACTCCAGGTTTTTGCTGCCTGGAGATGTGAGAACAAGGCACTGGAGAGTCTCCGATGTGCCTTGAAGACAATGCGTGGTTGTGCCATGTGAAACGGTAAAGCGCTGCGAGTGGTAGATCGAATAAACCCGCGAAGTTGGGTTAAAAGCAGGGATCGGAAAGAAGGATGGGCGAGGAAGGGTGCAAGCATCGGTCTGGAGGGGCCAGGTGGAATGAGGCCCCGGAATCGTAAACTGGATCGAATGGCGGAAAGGCATGCCTGGTGGTGTGGTTCAGGCAGGTGTGTGGCTATGCGATGAAGGACATAGAGAGCGGCGGGTGGGAAGTCTCTGCTCCGTATGTAACGGATGGCATCAAATCGTCGTAGAGTGTTGCTGCCAAGATCGCCCAAAAATCGCCACAAATCCAGGCGGTTGTTCATGCGCTTGGCCAGGAAGGCCTGTTGTAGGGCGATGGGTAGTCGTAGTCGGCGGCGTTTTCGCCAGATGGTGGCGAAGCCCATGTGCCGGGATTGGGAGAAGTCCAATTGGCGTATGAAGCCCGTGCGTGGCCGGAAATGTTTCTCGATGAAGCCAAAATTGAGAGACGGTTGCAGTTCCTGGATGTAGAACTGTTCAGTGGCAAATAGGTCCGTTGCTGGAACGGCAGTGTGAATGGGCACCGAGGTGTAGTGGTGGAAAATGTCAAAATGTGCCCACCACCGGACTGCCAGTTCGGCATTGACCAGATGATGTCGCTGAACTTGGAGTAGTTTGCGAAGTCGGCTGTGGTCCCGTGCCATGAGGGAGGTGCGAGTGGCTCCGAGGTAGAAAAAGGTCTGCCACTTTGGATGGCTGGTGAATCTCAGATAAACCGCTGAAGGGACAAGCTGAGAAGAGAAATCGGAAGCAGGGTTGTCCAGGCCAAGTCGAGTAAGCAGGGCTTTCAGTCTGCCGGAACCACAGGAGAGATGGCAGACGTCAAGTAGCTGAAGCTGTGCGAGTAGCCAGGAGCAAAAATGACGTGCGGTGACGTCATCGGTTGGGAAGAACCGAAGAGTGAAACGGAGGACAGTGAGAAATTGGCAGCAGTGGTGTTGCCAAAATTTGTGCTGCCTGGCTGTGCGTCGTTGTCGGTGTGCTGTTGAGAGTCACTGGTAGAAGTGACTCGCAGCGGCCAGGATGCGGCCCAAGGCCGATGACCCCAGTTTTGATAGGGTTCGCACCGGGATGCCCCATAGCACAGCGGCTCGTTCGAGTTGGGCTCTGGTGTCGGAGTCCAGTGTGGTTGCCCATTTTGCGCAGTCGTTGGACCAGCTTTTTAGGACTTGCTTGCTCTCTTTGCTGGTTTTCTGAGAGGTGATCCATCGCTGGACTTTGGTGTCGGAAATGTCGGGTGGGAAGTTGCTGGTGAGCCATTGGCAAACGTGGGGAGGTGGTTGGAGCAAGTCGCGGGGCTCCTTCCAAGTGGGTGGGGAGGGGAGGGGGGGAGGGGTCGGGGTGCCGCCGTGGGTGGAGGGGGCTGGAGGGTTGCCGCCGTGGGTGGGGGGAGCCGGGGGGGGTTGGGAGTCGTCTGCAATGCGAGTGGGCAGGGGTAGAGCGGGGGATCCGTCCTGCGGTGATGTGTCAGGTGTAGTCAACCGTGGTCGCTTCATGCCGAAGTCCAGGAGGGAGGCCTGAGATGGATTGGCTGGGCGTTTGTTGGATGAGGTGGGTGTGGGGGGGAGGGGGGGGGATGAAGCCTGCTGGGCGAGTTGGTTGTGTGCGTCAGCAAGCTGTTGCTGAAGCTGGAGTATGGTGGCCGCGGAGGCCGGATCGGCCGTAGTGGTGGGTCGGAGGGAGATGAGGAAGTCGAAGATCTTGCTGGTGAGTAGCTTCATGGCTGCTGGTTTGGTGGTCGAGGCGCCCTCCTGCGTGGCTACATGGAGGGCGAGGGCGTCCAGGTCGAGGTGCCGTTGTCGGATTTGGCTGAGTAGTCCAGCAGCAAACACTGATTCCGGCATCGACTTTGCGACAACGATGCGGACTTCGCCTCCGTGGGCGAGGTGACGCAACCACCAACTGTTCCACTGTTCGTGCATGAAGTGGAGGAGGGGGACGCGAGCGATGTCTTGTCCCTCGATGCCCATTTGCCGAGTAAACGCGGTGTGCGTTATGACCTTGGGCAGGTCGTACCCCGCGACGCGGGTGGTGTCGTAGTGATCGTCGCCAGGGTTGAACTCGGTTGGTGTTGGGACTGAGTGGACGGGTCGAAGGGCCGGGGGAGGTTTGGATTGCGAGGCGGTGGAGGGGGAGGGGAAAGGTGGAGGGCGGGTGAAGGGGCCGGGGGGAGGGGGGGGAAAGGGGTTGCCGCCGGGAGGGGGGGGGAGAGAGCCGCCAAAGGAGGGTGGACGAGGGCCGGGGTGTGGTGGGTACTTGAAGGGGCGCTGTGGTTAATAAGCACTTCACCGGCTTGAGTTGAATATACATGTAGTTATAAACGTGGTAACATAAGTTAAAAGTGTCGTAAGATAAGATATATGTGTTGCAAACTTTGTAAACAACATGTAACATGTACATAATTAGATGTAACCATGACGGGCCACTTGTTATGTTATGCATCTGCTTGTATGTACTTAAGGCGCGGCTATGTGAATTTAGCATATGTATGCTAAGTACGAGCGCTGCCATTTAGTTCGAGCACCATTTTCCGAATGTGTTGAAAACGAGCACAAGGATGCCACGATATACGAGCTTGAAAGGCTGCGGCTGCGGCGAGCAGGCTGCAACTGACTGCCCTGCCAGCGGTGAATGCAATTTACTGTGTGATGCAAAATGCCGCTCGACTACACCAACCGTATCAGCACGGTGTCGCACATTATGCAAGCACATAAACAAACAAGCTGCCAAACAAAAGCATGCGCAAAGCAGAATGAGCCGCCTCTGTGCCTGAAAACACATTGCGCGCTTTTTCACATCATGCAAGTACAACATGCCAGCAGAAAAAAAGAACAAGCTCTGCTCCGCTGTGAGCTACTTGTTCTTGCCCGCGGTCCATGGATTTCCTTTACAGCTGGCTGCATATGACAGCTTTGGCCGACAAGGTTTGCACAAAATGCTGCGGTCGCAAATGGAAAAAAGCACATGCCCATGCCCAAAAAACGCGTTCTGCAAGTCCAGCATGTCGCAATTGCCAAACGCCCTAACTACTTTTACACAAGTGTCACATGTCAACTTATAAACAACATAACCACTTAATAACCCACGCTACCAGTTACCAAACGCCCCGCCCCTTCAAGTAATGGGGAATAGGTTGGCCGTAGGTCTGACAGGGAGTCGGATGTGTAGTTGGCGGTGTCCATGTCGTGGAAGAGCATCCGTAGGAAGGCCCGGACAGGGCCCCGCACGGGTTTCCGGCCATGTTGTTGCCGTACATGATGCCATGATGATGGGATGCCGTGGGCGAAGGCTGCGGTGGTAAGTTTTGCCTTTGGAGCACCGGAACCAAACCTCGAGGGGGTTGGAAAGCCATGAGAAAACACGGGGGAAAAGGAAATGTTCGAACCAAAAGCTGGTGAGCGGAATCAAGCGGGTAAGGTCACAAGGCGAGAGAACGGTCGCAGAAAGGCAGAACAGCAAAGCAAAGAAAAAAGGCGATCAAACAGTGCACCAATTCTTTTCCTGGTCGGGTGGAAGATGGTACATTTGCGCCCCGCTAAGCCGGGCGCTGCAGCGCGATGCCTCTCAGCATCGCAAACTTGGAGTGAAGGCACCACTTTTTGCCTCGGCGGCATGCGAAGTGGCGCCGCACGTTGTGTTGATCCTCGTGGCTTCCCCCGGATTCGAGGATTTTGTGCTGATTGATGGAGCGTAGTTCCCCAAAAGCGATGGCGCCGAGTTGAGACTTTCCGATTGTAAAGTTCTGCAAGAGCTGGCCGAGCGTGTCGGGCGTGCATGCCGTGGGGGTGGCCTGAGCGTAGCATCCAAAGCTCGGGTAGTCATGGTTCTCGGGCCTCCAAGCAGCGGGTCGGATCATGTTCTCATGGCACATGCGGCGCACTCGATCCGGGGTGGTGCCGTGCACATACATGACAGCGTGATGGGAGGCCGTGCCGGATCCAGCTTCCGGGTCTCCGCCAGCAACTGGCCAAGGATGAGGTCGGGGAAACCAAGTGGTTGCGAACACCATGCCGTGTGATTCCCGTCCCAAGAGGTGGTAGAAGCTGGGATCGAACGGTATGGGATCATCCGTGTCCATGGTTCGCAGTTCCCAGCATTCCGCGAGGAGATCGGCATGTGAAGGTGGCAAAGCAGGGTCCAGGTCCATCAAAATGGCCTTAGTCTGTTCCACCCTGGAGATGTCCAAGGCTGGAAGCGGGTCCAGCTCCCCCAACTCCCTAGGCGTGGGAACTCGCAGCGGGTCAGTCTTGGCCGTGTCCATGACGTTTCTCCATAGATCAAGCCACCGGTTGTCGGAAGTGGTGGTGGCGTTGATGTCCGCCTCCGATGGAGGGGGATCCAAATCACCGGTGTTGTCGGAGGGGGGTTGGGGAGGGTGAGGAGTAGCCGGCGTGGGTCGGGGAGGGGGAGGGGGAGTGGAAGTGAAGGCCGCCGCAGGTGCTGGGCGAGGGGGCAAGCTGGTGTTGTGGTGGCCGGTGCGGGAAGTGGGGTGGGGTTGCTGCCCATGGTGCTGCAGTGACCAGGACGATCGTTTGTCCTGGTTGTTTCGGTGGCCGGTGTGGCTGGCGCCATGGTGGTGCATGTCCCAGCGGTTTTTGTTCTGTGGTGGGTATCCCCACGATTGGTTCCGCCAGTGTGAGGAGGACCATTGAGACTTGTTGGAATCCTTCCCGGAAGTGCGCCAGGAGGTGGAATCATGAGTAGTGTGAGTGGGTCGGTGCGAAGTCGTGGCTCTGGGTGCAGGGGAGTGTCGATGGTGGGACCTGTGTCGGGGGGAGCGGGAGCGGAGGGAGACAGTGGAGTGGTGTGCACGTCGGGAGTGGTGGAGGTGTCGGGAAAGGGGAACGTGACCTGCTGTAGCTGCGGGATCGTCGGGTGTCGTGTCGTCGGTGCGACTTGTTGTGCCTGCGATGGTGGCTGGTGTGGGAGTGGGAGTGTCGGTGCTGTCTGTGGCGGGAACGGGATCTGCGAGAGTGGGGATGGTGCCGAGTGTCCGGGGGAGGGTGGTTGGTTGAGGAGGTAGCGGCAGGAGCCGCAGCGGCAGCTTCGGGCGCGCGCGCCGGCTGAGGCTCGGGCAGTGAAGATGGCATGCTGCTCTGAGTCATGAAAGGCATGATGGTGCCAGGTGCCAAGTTGCCGTAATTGGGAGGGCCACCGTAGGGCATCATGGCCATCGGGTTGCCAAAGTTCGAGAGGCCGCCGTAGGGCATCATGGGGAAAGGTGTGAAGGATGCCGTCTGCGAGTTGGGTGACGGTACAAGGTTCATGGGCTGCGTCATCTGGGATGACAGCTGCAAGTTCGGTCCACAATTGCCTGGTGAGCCGGACGCGGTGCCGGTCGCAATGTTGTGTAGGAGCGAATGCATCATGTCATAGAGCTGGTGTCCAGCCATCTCGCAAGGGAGAGAGAAGGTTGGAAAGGGGTGAAACAAAACCACAACTGCGGCAAAAATGCGTCAATGGTGCAAATGCATGCGAGCAAAAATGCGTCAATGGTGCAAATGCATGCGAGCACAAAGGGGTTCTCAGAGGTGCCTGTCAAGTGGCCTCATGAAAGTGCCTCATGTGGCTATGCCGATGAATCTGAACTGAACTCATCCGAGACGAAAGCTTCCATAAACACCCCGAATTGCAGAGTTGGTGTATGACCAACTCGTCACTGGCGCATGAAGCTTAGGAACCTGAAACCTCGTGGGCGCAGCCTTGCTTCAAAGGCAGGCAGTGCAACGCACATGAAACCAGCAGAGCACCATTTGGGTGCGGAATACCTTAAGACCTCAAGTTGCAGCCTTGATCGTGGTCAAGCGCGCTGAACGGCAGGTTGAATTTGAACGTATGAACGGTCTTCCCCTCGCAGGGGGCTCCCGCATGTGGCGAGTCCAGCCCACAGCGCCATGTCGGACAGGCCGTGGGTAAACACACTTATCTCGAGAGGCTGCTCTTGCAGACACGCGATTGTACTGAAAGGGCATGAAAAAATCAATCTGCAGTGCAAATGTCACATCATCGAAACCGAACATGAAGCAAACAGTGGTAAACCGAGGAAACACATTAGGTCACGAAAGGATGGCAGGTACGCCGGAATGGCCAATTCCGGTATCCCGTCTTGCTGCCTAGCTTTGTTAGACCAGGTCAGCAGCAAGACGCCTGGTCCCCCTGCAATGTGGAATTTCCGTCCGTGCTCCAGGACGCTTCACACACACACACACACACACACACACACACACACACACACACACACACACACACACACACACACACACACACACACACACACACACACACACACACACACACACACACACACACACACACACACACACACACACACACACACACACACACACACACACACACACACACACACACACACACACACACACACACACACACACACACACACACACACCACCACACACACACACACACACACACACACACACACACACACACACACACACACACACACACACACACACACACACACACACACACACACACACACACACACACACACACACACACACACACACACACACACACACACACACACACACACACACACACACACACACACACCACACACACCACACACACACACACACACACACACACACACACACACACACCACACACACCACACACACACACACACACACACACACACACACACACACACACACACACACACACACACACACACACACACACACACACACACACACACACACACACACACACACACACACACACACACACACACACACACACACACACACACACACACACACACACACACACACCCAACACACACACACACACACACACACACACACACACACACACACACACACACACACACACACACACACACACACACACACACACACACACACACACACACACACACACACACACACACACACACACACACACACACACACACACACACACACACACACCCACACACACACACACACACACACACACACACACACACACACACACACACACACACACACACACACACACACACACACACACACACACACACACACACACACACACACACACACACACACACACACACACACACACACACACATGTACACGGACTCCGATTCGAGCTGTTCGTGGCAGGGTTTGCGTTTCGCGCGGCAGGTGGCTGCCAAGCTCGGCCTCGATGCAGACGCCGGCGACTGGGATCCAGGCGAGACGTACCAGCTCTCCGTGGCCAAGTTGGAGGATTTGGCAGAGCAGAAGGTGCAGAGGCGACTGCAGCGGGCTGCAGTATGGATCCAAGCCAGGCGAGCCTCGGGTTTTCGGGACGCGGAGTGACTTTCGCTTGACTCTCACATGGCGTGACGTGTGCGGTGTGCGGTGTGCGCGTGTGGGTGTTGGGCCCCAAAGGGGGGCGCGTCGCGCGCCGCATGGGAGGTGGCGGAGCCACAAGATCCGCAAGCCTATACGCCAGGCCAACAGCATACGCAGCTTGTGATGTTTGAGCCGTTGTCGGCCGCATATTTTCAAACATCACGCAGGTCATTTTCAAGAGGATGGACGCCCGCCGGAAGATTCGGGCCTGGCTCTGCGCGCGGATCCGCAGGAGCAAGCTTCTTGGCCTGCGTGGCTTATTTGAGTGCTCGGCAGGAGACGGGTGGCTGCCTGCACCTTGGATGGCCGATCCAATATCATCATATGAATCATACATATACTTGCATTTGCCAATTTCATGACTCAGGACACAATGAACCATTTGCGCGCCTGCATCCAGTCAGCCATGAAAATCCAGGCGCATGGAGGCGTCACAAGCTTGATGTTGGCGTGCAGCGGCAGGCTCATGCAAGGCGGTGGCTGGTGCAGCGTCATTTGGCGGCAGCCAAAGGCTTCCACCAGGCTAAGCCAAATAAGTCAATAACCCAATGCCAACGCGTCCCGACGTGGCAGGTGCAGTTCCGCATGGCAGCGCTCCAGGAGAAGCTTTACCCCACGCAGGACGCAGCGGGAGCGCAAAGAGGCAAAGCGGGAAAAGCATGACGCTGGGCAAAGCTTCTGTCTCGGAGGAGAGGGAGCAAGACCAAGAAGCCGCCGAGAGGCTTGCCATGGGCCAGGAGGAGGTGCGAAGCGGGCGAAACGAGCAACCGGTCCGATGTGCGTGCGATGTGCGTGGCACGTGCCAGGCGCTGTCGCAGCAGGCCGAGGCTGCCTGGAAGCGGCGGGAGGCAAGGGACATGGCGCGTGCGCTCATGGCTGATAAATTAACAACATGAATGTCATTGGACGACATTGCATTCGAATGGGGAGGTGGAGGTCCGCCGGGCTGTGGCTGTGCTGCAGCCTGCCTTGAAGCGCTGGCTCTCGCGCCTGAAGAGGTGGCGCCTGCTGGAGGACAGAGCGCTTCACCACGCCTCACGAACACACTACTGGAGCCAGGAGTCCGAAAAGGAGGACAAGCGCCCGCGTCTGCTGCTCAGAACGGCTGAGACGGACCTCAAACACCTTGGCCAAGGCGGGTTCGGCCTCAGCCATGCAACTGCAAGGCCCGGTGCGTTGATGCGCCTCTTGCGAGAGCTTGTCGATCCACAGGAGTGGCAAGAAGGGCGGCCATGAGGCTGACACTCCCGATGAGAGGATGGCAAAGTGCAACAGAACGATCCAACACGATGCGCTGCATCACGGCACACACCTTGTGAGGAGCATCAGCCACCACCGCCCTTCCGGCGTGAGTGTGAAGGATGATGGGATCCTCCCTGCGTTGCCTAGCGCTTTTGTCACGCCCCTAAACAATCTGCAGATTTGTGTACTGAAACTCAGATGTAATCAGATGTAATCAGATATCTGCTCCCGTCTCAGGGCAAGGCGCTTCTGGCCCTGGAGGCCTTTCTCTCGTAGATTGCAGGTTGCAGATCATGGACTCTAGGCCATCACAGGCACCGTGGAGGCCCCCCGCCGACAAGACAAGGCAGCCGAGAATTGGTGAGAGACATCAGACCTACGATTGCCGCGTTTCCGCTGTTTGGAAGTGAAAGCGGCAGGCGCGAGTTTCTCGATGTTCTCTGAGCCGCCGCCACAAGAGCTTCGTGCTGCCGCCGGTCAGCCCGGCGGCCCAGACTCGACGCCCTTCCCCGGATCCCCGGATCCCCGGATAGATCCCCGGATCCGGATTCGTCGGAAAGGCTTCCGGCATGACATTGCCGGGGCACGTGGTGGTCCAACCCAAAGAGGCGTGATCTGCCGTCTGGCCGTCTTGCCGTATGCAGCTTGGCCAGGTGCACGGCTGGTCTCAGTGCCACCGCCAGTCCGCAAGGTCCGGTGAGATGGCTGACAGAAAGCGATAGAAAGCGATAGAAAGCGACTTGGCCTGGCGACTCGCCCGATGTCTCACCGCGGCAGAACACCTGCCAGAGTGTACATATGTGAGACTCGCGGCTCATGGGCCCTGGACTCGAAATCACTCCGACTGGCCATGGCACCCATGGAAAGATCGCTAGACGCGCAGGTGATGACCTTCGGGTCTCAGTCGCGGAATGCGCAGATGGCGTGCCCTGAAGCTGATCGGGCAAGGGCGACAAGGACGCCACGGAATGGCATCGGAGGTACAACAATTCCTTCGTGCACTTTTCCTCCGTGGCGGATGGCTCTCGGAGAAACGTCCGGCACTCACGTGACAGCCAGAGTGATAGGCAGCATGGCATCGCCGTATGGCCGCATGGCCAAATCTCAAAATCCACCAGGTGCCGCTGAACCGGGCCTCGGACCTGTGGGGTGCAGGTGCTGAGGCGCGTTCAGATGGCACCGGCCCAGAGAAACAAATTACTTCGCTTCGAGCAATCCCCACCCTCCACACTCACGAGCTTACGACCGTGAACACGGTTGTGTGAATTCAAGCATGGTTTTCGAGTGGCTTGGGGCCTTATCCACCTGTCTTCCACTTGTCTGCAAGCCGATCTCGAGAACTGAAACATCCGTTCCGTTGACAAAAGCCAAGCCCCTTCCAAAAACAAACCCGACGGGGGATTATTGCTTATTCACAACCCAAAGCAACACAAAAGCATCACCCTTTCCGAGCCTCAGGGTACACTCAAAACACGAACACACCAACATAAAATGTAAACCCAACGGTGCGCCGGGCGGGACATTAAGCAAAACCAGACTGGCGAGCTGCTCTGGCGGGATACTCGGCGGGATCCACTGGCGAATACTGGCGAGGAGCTCCGGCTCGATATGGCCGGATACTTGGCGAGCCGCTCTGGCGGGATCCACTGGCGGGCCGCTCTGGTGGGATACTGGGCGGGCGAGCCGTTCTGGCGGGACTTGGCGGGATCCACTGGCGAGCCGCTCGTTCACTGACCAGTAGCTCTGGCGGGCTTCTGGGCGGGATCCACTGGCGGGCAGCTCTGGCGCATCCACTGGCAAGCCGCCGCTGGCGGGATACTTATCCACTGGCGAGCTACTCTGGCGGGACTGGGCCAGCTGCTCTGGCGGGATCAACTGGCGAGCCGCTCTGGCGGGATAATGTGAGGGATCCACTGGCGAGCCGTTCTGGCGGGACACTCGGTGGGATCCACTGGCAAGCAGCTCTTGCGGGATACTGGGCAGGATCCAATCCACTGGCGAGCTGCTCTGGCGGGATACTTGGCGGGATCCACTGGAGAGCTGCTCTGGCGGGATACTGGGTGGGGGCGTGGTGTAGAAGCATCGCAAACGCGCATTCCAACATAAAATCCAACAACCCCTTGCTGTCGGGCGGGGAACCAAAAAAAAAGGGGAAAGGAACGAGGAAAAGAAAGGACCGAAAGAAAGACAGGATGGCTTCGTGAGTTCTTCAGGCGCTTCTGGTGCGGAACTGGCTCAGCGCCGGGACCTTGACGTTTAGACCGAGCGGTCCAGACCGAGTCGAGCTGACGAGGTGCTGAGCGTTCGGAGCTTCTCCCCTTGGATTAGGCGGGCGTAGCCGAGAAATGAATAGATAAATACCACATCTACATTTCTACACATATGATATTGATAAGTACAAGCCACTGTGCAAAAACATGGACATCCCTGTCCGCTGTTTTGTACAAGGCCTTGAGCCTACAGCGCATTGCCCCAGATAGAAAGACTACAGCTGTGCCGAGTTGTTCGCGTCACAGGTTTACACGTTCAAGTAGGTAGGAGATTGCAGCGTCAGTTCTACTTTAACATGGTAGCGGAGCAGTGATCCCTGGCGCACGATTCTCGACCACTACCCAGGGTGAGCCCCCACACGCACTCACAGGTTCAGGCGCACATAGTGAGCAACATGGCGGCGCAACAACAACAACAACAACAACAACAACAACAACAACAACAGCGACAGGAGCAGCAGCTGGAAAGAATCCAAAAGATATCACCACCACACAACACCTTCGAGGAATGGAAACACAAGATGACAGCATACTGAACTACAAGACCCAGCGCAACTGGAGAATGCAGCACCTTGGCAGAGCAGTGGACACAACTAAGCAACAACTTACACAACATCTTAGTGAGCACATGCAATGCACCAGCATCTACAATCTGCAGACAAAACACACAAGGCAACGGCTTTGAAACATGGCGGCTGATGCATTCAAGGTATTCCATACCACCTGGAACAAGGAGCATTGGATACCTTACACGGCTACTAAAACCACAATGTGATGAACAGAAGTTCGAGGAGCGCTTCGCAACTTGGGAGTTCCAACTATCCAAGTACGAACAAGACAACAACACACTACTCCCAGATGCAGTCAAGATTGCAGCGCTGCTCAATGAGACAAAAGGCCCGCTACAACAACACCTACAGCTGCAGGCAGGAAACCTCACAACATATGCACAGATCAGATCCATGATGATCGACGACTACAGAACAACAGCAACATTCACCAGGCTACAAGCAATTGCATCACGCAGCGACAATCAAGGACCGGCGCCGATGGACATAGGAGCAACATGGTACAACAAAGGGCAACCACAAGGGCAAAGGAAAACTACAACAACCAACAAGGAGGAAAGCGAGCAACAGGAAAGCGTGCAGTAAATGTTTGCTACAGATGCGGTCAGCCAGGACACATGGCCAAACAATGCAGAGTGGCGATCTACAACTGCGACACTGGCAACTTCAACACCAACGACCAGACAGATGACTGGTACAGCCAAGCGCGCTATGACAACAACTGGTACCACCAGGATCAGACACAGATGCAACAACTTGCATTGCCACAACCACCACAGCTAGCAGATCCATCAGCAGTACCCATTTCAGGATTACAAGAAAGAACAATTGCCATGATCGGCGCAACTCACCAACACACAGAGGACAACAATTGGATCAATCTTACCATTGACAGCGGTGCGGCTTCACATGTATGCCCACCATGGTTTGCATAACAATTGCCAACTGGGCCATGGAACAGGACCACAGCTCACAACAGTGCCCAACCAGCGCATCAAGCTTTACGGGACAGATGGGTTTGCGTGACAAACCACAGTGGACAACACATTGTCATACCATTTTATGTTTGTGAGGTTAAACAGCCAATCCTTTCGGTTACAAGGCTGGTGGAACAAGGCTTCCAACTTACATTGGATGACAATCCAAGACTACAGAGAGCAACAGATTCAACAGCGCATTGGAGAACAGAGATGGCCCGCTCTTCCTACAAGCAGGAAATCACAACGCTTCCAAGAGGAACGAAGTTACAGATACAAAGCACACAGCAGGGACAGATTGGCATGATAGCGCCGACCACAACGCTTACACCACAAGGTCCTGCAGACACAGGCTATGCAGGAGACTACTGGCAGTTCAACACACAAGGTGAAATTGTCAAAGTACACAGACAGTACAGGAAGACACTCTTCATGACATCAAGGACACAATGTCCAATTCCAACGGAACAACTTGAGGACTACAGAAGAACAACCATCAAGTTCAAGGATGGTACATTGAACACGTTTGATGACAAGTGTCAAACAATGGACGCTCCAAACAAAGCGCAATAGCAAATGTGGAAAGGAGAAACAGCATTCAGAACCAAGAAAGGTACAACCCTATCAGAGACATGACAGCAACAGCTTGCAACAAAGACACAGCCAGAGAGTGCGCTGCAGAAAGTCACACCGCAAGGAATTCAGTACAACCCAAGGACACGATTGAGCCAGAAATCAACACCACCAATAACACAAGATTCAGCAGCAACGCGAGCCGCGCCACCACGGGTGCAGCTGGACATGGTACATCCTGGAGGAGACTACTGGTGCAGAGAAGCCATACTGGATGTGTACTCGAGTACACATCAAGCCTCGAACAGCGTCTTGCACATTAGAGCCAGACGCACGACGGGCCAGACATCAAGCGACTCATACCTTGGAGACAGACCAAGGAACAACCAGTGAGAGAAAGGAGCAACAAGATTGGTAGAAGATGAATGGGCAACACAGCAAGCCAAAACATCAGACAAGCCCTTGACAGGCTGGACAAACTTTGAGGAGCATCAGGAGTTTCCTACACAACCTGAACGCGGTTCACAGCAATGGATGCACAAGCCAGTTCAACAGATGGGGCAGAGAGCAACACGCACCACTTTGTGAGTTTGGTGAGACAGCGCAGTACAATTTCCAAAACTAGAGCCGAGGTTCTACAATGGAATCTGGCTTGGCAAGGATACAGCCGCAGGTGAATCCCTCCTCGGGATCTACAACAAGATTGTCAGAGCAAGGACAACCAGAAGGCAGACAATGCCTCACAAATACAACGAACAGCGACAGGACTATGTGAACACAGGTCCCTGGAAGACACCAGCATCAGCACTGCCTACACCGACTCTCATCCCTATAAGAGCGGTCCCCACGCACCCTCGTCGCTCGCGCACGTGACTTGCTGGAGGGGCTCGTTCGTTTTTTGCCACTGAAGATTGCAAGAGTTCATGGGCTCGTTTCTTTCAACAGTGTGTTAGTAGAGTCGTTGCAGCGGCTGCTGTCCTCAAGAGCGAGACCGAGAAGGGCAGCTTGACAGCCGTGCCGTTTGACTGCACGCCTCGGTCTAAAGAGTGCAACAACGCTGAGGCCCGGACTCTTCTTGTTGGTCACAGGGAAGAGTAACCAGCTTGCCAGTTTGCGCGTGAGTCAGCCTGAAAAAAAAGCGGCGACCGCTTTGGGAAGGAGGGCTTCGCCCGTCTACGGTTTTGCGTTTTCCTACCCCCAAGTCAGCATGAACACAGTTTGTGTGCATCTATGTGGTGACGGGCCTCATCAAGTGCTTAGAGTTGTCGCGTTTGGGCTTGCCCAGGTTTGTGTGCTTGTGTGTGTGTGCGCGAAGAATCGCTTGGCCATGACTCACCCGGCACGCGGTCCTCACTTCACAAGCATGGCCAGATGCCTCTGGCGGCATGACGTCCCATGACAGGCGTCGCTTGGTGAGCAGTCGGGCGGTTCCACCAGTAAGCCCTTTGATGAGGCGAGGGGTGTGGCATGAAAAGGGAGACAGACAGACAGGCAGACAGACATAGATAGATAGATAAATAGGCAGACAGACAGGCAGGCAGACAGACATGGACAGATAGATAAATAGCTACAGACAGACAGGCAGACAGACAGATATAGATAGATAGATAGATAGACAGACAGACAGGCAGACAGACCTAGATAGATAGATAAATAGATAGACAGACAGACAGACAGGCAGACAGACATAGATAGATAGACAGACAGACAGACAGACAGATAGATAGATAGACAGACAGACAGGCAGACAAACAGATTTGGATAGATAGAGATAGACAGACAGACAGACAGATATAGATACATAGATAGATAGACACACAGGCAGACAGACATAGATAGATAGATAGATAAACAGACAGGCATGCAGACAGACATAGATAGATAGATAAATAGACAGACAGACAGACAGGCAGACAGACATAGATAGATAGATAAATAGAGAGACAGACAAACAGGCAGACAGACATAGATAGGTAGATAAATAGATAGACAGACAGGCAGACAGACAGACAGATATAGATAAATAGATAGATAGACAGACAGACAGGCAGACAGACATAGAAAAAGATAAATAGATAGACAGACAGACAGGCAGACAGACAGATATAGATAGATAGATGGATAGACAGACAAACAGGCAGACAGACATAGATAGATAGATACATAGATAGACAGACAGACAGGCAGACAGACAGATATAGATAGATAAGTAGATAGACAGACAGACAGGCAGACAAGCATAGATAAATAGATAAATAGATAGACAGACAGACAGGCAGACAGACAGATATAGATAGATAGATAGGTAGATAGATAGACATACAGAGAGACAAACATAGATAGATAAATAAATAGATAGACAGGCAGACAGGCAGACAAACAGATATAGATAGATAGATAGACACACAAACAGGCAGACAGACATAGATAGATAGATAAACAGACAAGATCTAGATAGACAAATAAAAAAAAGACAAACAGACAGGCAGACAGACAAATATAGATAGATAAGTAGATAGACAGACAGACAGACAGGCAGGCAGACAGATCTAGATAGATAGATAGACAGACAAACAGACAGACAGACAGACAGATATAGATAGATAGATAGATAAATAGATAGACAGGCAAACAGGCAGACAAACAAGCAGACAGATAGATAGATAGACAGACACACAGGCAGACAAACAAATATAGATAGATAGATAGATAGACAGACAGACAGACAAGCAGACAGACAAATGTAATAGATAGATAGATAGACAGACAGAGAGACAGGGAGACAAACAGATGTAGATAGATAGATAGATAGATAGACAGACAGACAGACAGACAGACAGATCTAGATAGATAGATAGATAGACAGACAGACAGACAAATAGATACATAGATAGATAGACAGACAGACAGACAGATATAGATAGATAGATAGATAGACA